TGTCACTGCATCCTTGAACCCAACTCGAGTAGGGCAGCTGGGCCCAACTGTTGCAGCTTCTCGCTTAGCAGTGGCTGCTATAGCTATATCCTTTCCAGCTGAATGCGCTCGACTTTCTGTGAGAATTTTTGGCAACAATTTTTTGGCTGAGCTTTTTTGTGGCTCTGCGGCTATCAAATAACTGCCTGCAGCATCACCAGCAGCACCACCAGCAGCAACAGCAGCTGCTTCCGATTTATGTAAATTGTATCTATGGGTTTCACACGCTCAGCGCTAGCTCGATGATCGGCTGACTCCCCTCCAGCCAACGGGGGCGTGCTTTGAACTCCCAATGCTGGCCAATTGGCTAACAATTTTTGCGCTTATTTTTTTTTTGCTGTTTTCATTGTTGTTGTGCTTTTGTGTTTTTGTTGAAGCGCGCTCAAGTGGCTGCAATCATTGGATTAATTTTAATATGTCCATGGCTATAAAATGTTCACGTTGTTGCTGCCATGTTGCCTTGTTGCCTTACTGCCAACCTGCATCTATGATTATGGACTCACGGCAATCGACTTGAACAGAGCTAAGCAAGCACACAAACACATGTATATAAATGTAGCAACATAGGCCGTGATGTTGTTGCTGTTGTTGTTGTTGTTGTTGCAGTGGTTGCCACTGGAATTGCGACCTCTTTGGGAGCACCACTCGATGCAGCTATAGCTGGTTACGAAACCCCAAGAAAAACTTCCGCATTCATTTAAGATCATTTCTGTCGTTGGTGCTCCAAGTGGTGGCTGCTATGATTGTTGCTGCTGCTGCTGTTGCTCTTGTGGTTGTTGTTGTTGTTGCCAGTGTTGCTGCTGCTGCTGTTGCTGCTTGTTGCAGCGGTGGCAACTGCATCCCCCCTCATTTGGTGTTGTTTTGCTATTATTAATGCCGTCCATGCTGCTTTGGTTGCTGCCGCTGTTGTTGTTTGTTGTTGTTTTCTTCATGTGTTTTGCGACGCTGTTTTGGCGAATTTATGGATCAACGCGGCATACCGCGCAACATCAACACCAACTATAAAACCTGCGCCATAGCGTCTGCTTGAGTCAAAAATCCAAATTGTCAAAGCATTTCTACAACTGTTGCCGCTGTTGTTGTTGTTGTTATTTGTGATATCAGATTGCTTGGCTAGACGAATAGATGCGCTCACATGAGACAGCTGGTCAATGGGGGCCTGTCTAGAGGTAGACAAATTCCAATTCCAATTAATTTAAAGTGAGGTTTACGGGAGCTTCAAAATTATATAACCTTTATGAACATCTAATAATTATAGGGGTAGTTACTTAAATTTTCACAAAACTTACCCAATGAATGCGAATGAAGATGCATACTATTTTATTTTTTTATTTTTATTTAAGAAATCAACAAATACAAATAGTACTGTCAGTACCTTCTAATAAAATTATTACAATATAACATTATTCTCTCCCGTTGAATTAGCTGTTACAATATTATTGTTTCTCGACATTTGAAAATGATAGATTATTTGAGAAATGATACTGAAATAGAACATACATTGTTTAAAACTTCCTTAGCCACCTCATCGAATTAGTTTGTAAAGAGAAATCGATTTTCTCAATTGGTTATAATTTCAAGACTTCATTTGGTTTAATTGGATTAATCAATTTAATTGAGATTAAAATAATATCAGATTAGAAAACAAGCAAAAAATGAAATATGATCATCTGAGGTATACGATATTGTTAACCATCGATACGAATTGTAAATAATTAGTATCTGAGTTTTACAGCACCTGTTGGGGAACACCAGCGCGATTATGTTTAATTATTCATCACCTTTATAGAGTATTTTGAATGCGTATATCGCTTAACTGCATGCTCAATTATTCACAACATTTGTTTTTGTGGTAAAGCCCAAATATAATTCCATTAACTGGAACTCTAGAAGAAGTGCAATAATTCATTATTGTTAGATGAATAATATTAGTATTGGATGAAAATGAGGTTGCAAAAATTGCAAATAATTCTAAATATTAGAATTAAAGCGTAGACCAACATTACAAGTATTTCGTAAATGAATACTTACTACTTACTGTATACATACTTAGAATTTTCTAACTAAGAACTTATGCAATTGTTGACAGCGCTTGTATCTAATGGTCTTCATTTTTGTTGTTGTAGTTTAATATATGTGTAATATTTATATTTAAATTTCATTTTGAACATTTCCATAATAGTTGAATAATTAACTTGGTTTTAAAATGTATTCCTATCCTATCTTGAGCGAGCATATCGAACTACGCAAATATTATTAACAAATAGTTTTAATGCAATAACTATGAAGTTAATCAAAAAAGAGTCTAACAATTAAGTTACTTCGTTTTGAATTAGTTTAGTTTAGTTAGTTCGACGATTGGTTTGCGGCTGTGGAAGACTTTTTTATCTGATATATATTTATGTAGATTAAGTATTCATTTGTTCCAAATTGCTGTTCCAGACAACCACATTGCATGTCTAACTAACATGTCAGCTTTATTGGCTGCTAACGCTGTAGCTGGCCAACACAACAACAACAACAGCGGCAGCAACGGCTGCAAGCAAGTTGTCCACCAGTCCTGCCATAATCAGGTCAAGCCGCTTGGCCCGTTAAAGTTAATGCAAAAAATGCATTTGCAGCCAAAGCGTCCAGAGAGTTCCCAATAAATTCACACTAACGGCAATTGGACACGGGCATGCATGTGTGTGTGTGTGAGTGTGTGGAAAACATTTACGTGCTCTTCATCATTAATAAATACCGTTAAAACGGCGCGGGACGCCCACCACAGCCAATGCAAAAAAAAAAAAATAAACCTCAGGCCGCGCTTGGCAATATGGACAAATAAAACTGGTAGTTGTTATTGCTGTTGCAGTTGTTGTTGTTGTTTTGGTTGTTGAGGTTGTTGTGTCACTGTCAAATGTGGAGGCATACGTCAATAAATTACGTGGAAGCGCACCCAAGAGCCCGCTGTCAAGACCAACTCCAACTGCCAGCCAAGAACAGAACCGAGTCGAACCGAACAGAACAAAAACGGCAGAAAGAAGAAAGCCAACGGTATATTATGCAATCACAGCATGAATGAGACACTCTTGACCGAGTTTCCAAAGCCAGGCACTAACGGTAAAAGGCTTTTGTGAGCGCAGAGTCGGGCCAAAGACGACAACGACAGCGAGTTACGCGGCAGCTGACATCCGCCGCGACGCCCCGCGCCAATGAGGCAAATGCGGCACTGCAGCCACTTTGCAGCCGCAAAGCAGCTCAAGCTCAGCAACTAACGGGTTCTGCAGCATAGAGAGGCGCATACTTGGGACTGGCATTGGGACTGGGACTGGGAGTGGGACTGTAATGTGCTGTGCAAAAAAAAAAACAATAACAGCGAAGCGCATAGAGTTGCTCAGGGAGTAGTGGAGGAGGAGCAGTTGAGAATTGAATTTAAATGCAGGGCGCCTATCAATTATGTAAGCAGAAGCGAGGTGTGTTCTCACTAAAGGGCAGACCAATAAATAGACTTTGTTCACTCTTCCAATACTGCTCGTTTAATCATAGAAGTTTCGTCAGAATAAAAAAAAAAAACGAAAAAAAACTATACTCCTTTAAGCGCTATCGGTAGAGATTGAATTTGAATTTAGTTTAATTCTTTTTAAATGAAATAGGCAGCTATGGACAGACCTGCAAATCATTTGCACACAAATTTCTGTTGTTCTACTAGTAGTCGTTCAAAAGTAAGTCAGTAAGAAGAATCCGAACAAAAAGGATTCGGTTTTATTAAATAAGCAATACATTCTTGACTTGCTTGGGAAATTCACCAAATTTGGGTGCAGATCGTTTGCCTGTCTGGCCATGTTTTCAAAATATGCAAGACAATCAAATAAATTGGACACCAAATATTAAAAATATAATGCAATCCATTCTACATTTCTCATTTATTTTTCTTATACACTTTACGAGGGTAGTTCCAAAAGTATGCGAGCTGTCAAAAAAACACAAATTTTTGCAAAATTATCTTTTATTCGATGGGCAAGTGTCTCTCAAAATTTAATCACGTTCTTGGTTAATGCAATAAAGCATGTGTGAACTAGTGAATTGTGTTTATAAAACAAAACTTTGTTGCCAAATGTGTTTGTTTTATCGTGATTCCATAGTCAATAAGTTCGCAAAATTCTCGCTGTTCATTGTTTTTCCTTTTGAAAGACAATCAATGAAAATATATCCCAAAAATTGACCTCATTACCTTGCCTGTAGATGGAACTGTCTTTGTGTTCTTTGGAGGCGGTTCTCTTCTTTCCTTCGCGTCGGGTGTAAAGTGAAGATATATCCATAGTCATGAGTCAGCTATATTTTTGTTTAACATGATCAAATACTTGACTAAAACATCCACACGATGTTGTATTTGTTCCATATGTGTTATTTTTAAAATATCGAAACCATTTGGGTCCGTAGAGCGATAACAAACAATTTAAAATTAAGGAAAAGGAAGAAAAATCTTCCTCAAATATATAGCTTACGAAATCTCGACAAATTGTGTGTTATTTCAGTCCAAATTCGCTTCCTACCTAAAACAGTTTCAAAGTTTTTGAGAAACGATCGATTGGAATAATTAATAAATCATCAGGGGGAATATAATGTTTATGTTATATATTATCTTATTATGGAGTCTCTTTTTGTCGAAATTGCAGTTCTACAAAACTAATAAGGTGCAAAAACCTGTGAAACAGATTAATTTTGGAAGTTTCGAACGTTGTTGCATTATTATTGCGATTTCTTATGGTTTTCTAAAGAGAGCCTTCATTATTTTGTATAAGATCTGTCATAAAATTTTTTACGTTTCAAATCACTTTTTTTTGACAATTTCGGGGCAAGAGTATCTTTGATGTCCTTCAGAATATTTAATTGCCTTACTTGAGAGCATCCCCAAAGCTTATCCATTGAATAGATAGAACAACTAGCTGCCAATGTGGCTAACAATTGAATCAAAGGAATTAATATATGAACATGTTTTTATTGATTTTAAAAATTTCGGCACATGTATAAGTACATTGGGCGCAGTGTGATGCAAAGAAGGAGGGATAAGTACACGTATTTAAGTAAAATATTTTCTAAATGCAACGCGGTCGGCCTAATTAAGGAGGTGAGTCTTCACCAGCGCCACAATGGGTGCCGCAGTGGGCATAAATGGATACTCTCCGGCGCTGCCGGCAATATCCAGATGGGTGTACTTCAGTGGGGTCGGCGACTCCACACCGTATTTATCTAGGCCTGCAGCCTTGATCATAAATGCAGCGGGCATCTGGTGACCACGTGGTGTTTTCACCGATGGCGCATTATTCGCTTGCACCAGATCCTCCCCAATGGTTTTGGGGTCGTTTGCGTCAAAGTCGCAACGACGCAGCACCGACACCTCGAAGGGCTCACCAAAGCACTGGCCAGCAGTTTGCAGCTTACGGGCATGATCGTCCAATTGTGCGACACTATTATCAACAATGATGCTCTGACCCTCGCCCGCAGACAGCCAAGCATGGCCAGTGAGCGTGGCAATGGTGAACAGATGAGGATCGGGTAGATTACCCTCAACGGCAAGTTCTTTCATACGACATAGTACATCGGCCATGCACATCCTGCCCTCGGCATCGGTGTTGCCGATGCGAATGCGAACGCCTGAACGCGATTTGATCATCTCGTCGGCGACGTAGCACTCCTCGCCCACAGAGTTGCGCACCAAGCTCATCGCGCCGATCACATGAATGTCATCGGGCTTCAGCTCGCTGACAATCTGCATGAAGCCGGCTACGGCGGCAGCCCCGCACTTGTCCCGTGACATGCCGGCCATCACACCGCCAGCCTTGATGTCAGCGCCACCCGTATCGTAGGTCACACCCTTGCCCACCAGCATAAGTGTCTTGCGCGCAGGTTTGGGGGGCACGTATTCGGCAAAGATGATGCGTCCCCTGTGACGATCGACCGCGTTAGCAGCGCGATTGACAGCCGCAAACAGGGGATATTCCTTTGTGATGGTGTCAACGTCGCTAATGACCGTTACCTTCAGATTGGACAGTAGCGGCTTGAGATACTCTTCCACTCGAGGTGGGGCCATGCGCTCCGGATCACCAACGCCTGTTGGCAGATAAGAGGGAGAAAAATGAAAAGGAAACAATACAGCTGTTTTTTCCCCCGTAGCTTACCAATATCACGAGCTACAAAACGACCCGACTCCAGGACCAAAGCCTCTCGTATAATATCCTCGGCCCGGGGATTGTCAATAAACAGTGACAGATTGGAAATGAGGCTCTTCTTCTCAGGCACATCCTCACGTAATTGGATCGGCTAGCAAGGGAATTAATCAGTGCTCTTAAAATCAATTTACAGTAAAGTTGTTGAAAACTTACCACATAGAGCCCCTCTAAAGCACCCAGGACGGTACAGAGTTCAGTCTGTGCAAAACGCGAATTGTTCGGCACCACTAACAACGGAGACTTAAAGCCGCCCTGCAATTATACGAATTGAAGTTCAGCAACAGGATATTTAGATAAGTTGATAAATGATTAACAAACCTTAATAGCACGCTTTAGGGACTCCCTTGCTGCTTTCTGATAGCTACGCACATCGTCGTAGTCCGTCAACTCCGGAACTGGCGCATAAACTACGGGGATATCGAGTTTCTCGGACTTGAAGCACGAAACTGAGCTATCAAACCCCTTATCGAAGGAGCGCAACTCATTGAATTGTGCAGCCAGCTCGGCGGGCACTTTGCGATCAATGACGCAGAGTACATCGCAGCCCGACTTCTGTGCGATCTTCGAGAGTCGGACGGAGCAAGGAACAAGTCTGAAAAAAAATCAACATGTTTTATTTCAAAACCCAATCAGCAGTCACTCATTTTTAATGAGTAATATGCAAAATAATCACGTCTGCATTGTCAGCATTTTGCGTTTATCAATTACATACTTGTATAGTATGTATGTACATTCTTGTTTGTTTATTGCTCACTTGTTTACCACAACGCCCCCGCATTTATTGTTTACCAAAGCATAACATGGCAACTGATGGGCGAAGAAACTGCCCAGTGGCGTTTAGATAATCTTAACTCTATGAAGCTACAAACAAGTGCAATAAATAATCGCGATAAGATGAACAAATAGCATTTATTATTGAGACGTTGCGAAATAGTACTTGAAATGCCGTTAAATCTAGATGGCAAACGCAAGCAGGAAAAGCTTTTTATGAAGCTGCCTCTGACATTGCGCCGCGTGATCTTTTATTAATAGTGCTGTCAGTAATTGCCGCCACTATCCAACAATAGAATAATATTTGACATACAGATACATATGTATGTATGTATGTTCATTATATTGTACTCACTTGTCCATTGTGCTGATGAGCTAGATTTGAAGTTGTGGATTGATACAATGATGTTTCCAAGCAGGCGACGGGCGGCACAATGTTTGGCACAACTGTATCGGGCAGCAAGTGTTTCAAAACTGAGGAGGCAGCAGTGTAAAGCGATTTGAGACGTTGTATGCAGGCTGCTGATAAGAACGATTTTCTTATCACAACACAAACACAATTAATACTTATAAACGAAGGCAGAGTAGCGCTCTGTATTGGCTGGCAAATTGCAATGATGCGACCAATCGTCCACCACTGGGCTTTTATAGGAAATTGCGTGCAGCTGTTTTGTGTTTATAGATGGAGGTAGCTAGCTAACAAATTGCACGGTTTATGAATAATCATACGAGTGTCTTAATTGAAATTGTAGCTTCTCGTTGACGACAATAACAAAAGAAAAAAGTTTACTCACGTCGCCGGACAAAACAACAACCGAAACAGCTCAGGTTTGTTGTTTTTTTCTGCTAGTCACGTTCGATGCGAATGCCGGCGAAAAATCAAAACAGCTGATGCCCGCACAGCGTTGCCAACTACATTCATTAAAAAAAAAAATACATAGAATACATGTGCGTTTGTATGTATGCAGTAAACAATATTTATTATTCGCCATTTATATAGCCTTTGATGTCATTTATGAGTTGCGGCAATTGCTCGGCCTCAAAGATCAATACCTTCCGGTAAGGAGTGAGCACCGCATCACCCTCCAGCCAATCGCCCGCCATCCCCGAATCACATTCGCCGGCCACCGAGTATTCGAAACTGAGTTTCGCGCGCTCAGCAATGAGTTCCTCTTCGGCATTCGTGTAGGTATCCTCAGCTGGTTTGCCCTTTTTCGCCTCCTTCCGGTAGAGCTTGACCAGCATCAGGTATGTGCCAAAGTCAAATTTCATTTTCTTCGCCTTGGCCGCCACAATTTCCTCATGCAGGTTCTGAAGCAGTGGCACGGATATTTGTGCCGGTATATTGATGAAACGCTCGTTAATTATTAAGCCTACATGGCGTGTTGCATTCTCCAGCAGTTCGTGCAGTTCTTGCTGCACCTCCTTCGGGGCGTGCTTTTGTGCGCGTTCAAGCAAGTAGCTACGCAGCTGTATTACACTGGGCTGCTCCTTCTTGGCGGTCAGATTAAGCACCGATGTAATGCCAAATATGGTGCCATCTTCGACCATGCCATCGTCATCGGTTTCACTCTCGGCGCCCTCGTCCTCGCACTGACAGATAACGCTGCCCACATAGTTTTGAGCTGTTCAAATTCCAGAACATGCATTAGCTTATGAATAAAACTATCCGCTGGTATGGCTTACCAATAAGCAAATCGGCCATTTGATTACAATTGATGTGCGCACGAAGGAAGAGTCGCTGCAACAGCTGTGAAATGCCCTCTCCATCCGGATCAATTGGAGCACGGCCCTCAAAATCAACCTGCACTTCCTGTCAACAATATAATAATGTTTATTTGGATGCCTATTAAAGCGGGTATCGCCACGCACCTCGTTCCCCCGATACGCATCAGGATGGGTTCCGTCTTCTACATCGTCATCGTCATCGCTGGAGCTGGAATCCTCCTCGTTTGCATCGATTTCCATTTTATTTAAATTCTTGCGCTTCTTAGCCGACATTCTGCACTTGTATAAATATTTGGGACCCCACAAGAATTAAAGTCAATTAAGCCAAAACAGCTGATAGACGCGCTCACGTGGAGCTGCGGTCCTGCCAACCTGTTTGCCGCCGGCACTCTGCGAACTACAAGTTAAAAATATTCACTGGTTCATAACTCACATTGCAGTTAAATTTATTTGAAAGTTTTGTAATAAAAAATGCTAATTTCACGTAGCAACCGCTGCCTCGTCTACTGCAATATTGCTAGTCTCTTGCACATATTTTTCGTAATCTGCATGTGTCATCAGACTCGCCTTAATGTCATCACAGTTCTCAATTTTCGGCAGCAAGATGGCAAAATATCCTGCGCCTTCCTCTGCCTGTTCCAATAGTTTGGGTTGTGCGATTAGTTCCGTGTGTACCTCCACCAGCTTGCCTCGTATACAGCTGGGAATCTTGTAGACATTGCCTTTTTCTGTTGTGAGCAGCGCCAACGTGGAATCCGCCTGCAAGACCATGCCACCCCTCTTAGCCTTACCCTTGACCACGTTCTGGCTGCGATCCACATTTCCCACATCAAAATTAACGGAGGCAATGCCTTCAGCAAAGGCCGGATGTGAAGGAGCCAGGCATATCAGGCAGATGCGATTCGAGTGGTACAGAACTTGAAAGGGTGCCTGCTTGCCGCCACTTGTTTTGAGATAGTAATAGCGTGTAAAGAAACGGTCCACAACACTCGGATAGTTCTCGTCATAGTTCTTGGTAATAGGACTTACGGGTCGACCACAAATCTGCTGCTCTTCCTCTTTAAAGTAGTACTGTTCGAAGGGATCTTCGTGAGTTATTGTAAGGCTGCTCATTCTGTGTGTTTATTGCTTAGGCGGATGCTTCCTGTCGAATGCGCTCCTTGTATCTGGCCTGCTCCTCCCTAGCTCTGGCCCGATTTGCTGCTGAGCGTGCTATGCGCTCCGCTTTAAGGCACTTGACGACTTTGTCGTCAATGGTGTTACAAATGCCAATGAATTTGCGGAATCCGTGCTGTGGAGAATTGAATAAATTGTTCATATAGCCTTCTAATGTTGCGGACACTTACGTTTTCGTGGCACGCTTTAAGCTCCTCTATGAGTTGGTTGCAGTTGGGCGTATGCAAGTGCGGCGACAAATCCGTGTGCATCTTCCGATTTGTCCAAAATTCTACTCCGCTGCCGAATGTTTTGTTGTTAGGTAACACAGCTGACAAACAAATTTATCGATTGCTATTTGAGAAGTAATCGGTTACTCGTCGTTGACAGCTAAAGAGGCAACGGTTGCTTTTTGAATTTAAAAAGCTACCGACAGTTGAATTTAGAGAACTTACAGCTTCTAAAACATTTTGAACTCTTAAAACGTAAAATAATTCCCTGTAATTAGTTTTCTCCCTTTTTTTTTTTGGTAATATAATTGACTAAAATACAATTTTTTTAAATTAAACTGGTGAGCTCATTATCTGAGATTGCGATTTCTGAAAACTATCAAGGAAACAAGCGAGAATGTTTGCAGTTTGGTTTCAGCGTAAAATGTTTACGCTAATAACTCGGTTATTGCTGAGAAATAACCGATTTGGATACGATTTTTAACAGACAAAGAGATTTACACAAAATGTTTAGATTATGTAATTAAAATCGTAGACAGTACTGAGACCGTTGTGTAGGGGCTGAAGGAGGTGGAAGGTCCCTCAAAAATAATATAAATTCGTGTTTCCTAGTAAAGTATTTCTACCAATTTTGGTTTAGAAAGAAAGAAACGTTCCGACGGACTGTTAAACATATATGGTGTTAAGAAAAATAATATCAAAAACTGATTGGGGTTTTCTGTTGTTTTTTATTTCATTGTGTATTTTACCCGCTCTCACAGTTGTTTTTACATAGGCTCTCAGTTTGTAAAATTGATAATAGATATATATGTATTTCATTTTATTACAATATTTTATCTCACATGCTCTTAGGTCATTCATGCAAATAGTTATGTATAGTTATTCTTTTATTTTTTTAAACGTCTTCACTGTTCACTTTTATCAAAAGTCTTATCAACTACGCCATCGAAAAGGGTTTGTCTCAAAAACTAACATGTTTGCTGCTTCCTCAAAAAAAGTCTGAAAACTCGCTAACTCTCAAAATCGTGCGCTGTTGTTACAACTAATAGAAAATTCACAGTCGGGGTTGTGTTTTCCAATCGTTTGGTTGGTTGGTTGGATTAAGTGGCTTGGAGGTTGTATAGTATGTGTGTGTGTGTGTTAGAAATCGTCATTTTTATTATCGTAAGATTTGCTAATTCGTTAGGTTTACTATAAGTAGTTGTATTAATTAAAAGCTGATCTACTCGGCTACAATGGCATGTGCTATCTCTCTACCGTGTTGCTCAAAGACGTGCGTGTACAAGTATGTGTGTGTGCTTGTGTGTGTGTATATAAGTATATAATTTTCTGCTAATATATGCTCTCATTTACTCCCCTCTCATTAAGCTCTCAGTTCGGTTATATTATATAGTAATTAATCAAATAAAAATGTTGCAACTCAGTTGAAAATAAAAGTTGACTAAAGACCAAACATTTGCACAGCAACCGCTGCTACTTCAAATAACAAAATTCGCCTACAAATTCTCGCTCTCTTGTCTTACGCTGTTGTTCTCGTTGATATGGGTACGAAAACAAAGATTTGCTCTCACTTGTAGCCCTCTCCCAGTTGATGCTGTTAATTCTCCATAGACGGTTACTAGTGCCGATGTCACATTCTCTCTATCTCTCACTAAAACAAACTAAATGGCAGGTTTTACTCCCCAATCGGAGCCAACACCTCAACTCTTCGTCTTTTTGGGATCAGCCTCCGCATCGATTACTTCAGCCTGTTTGGCTTCGATGCTGGACAGCGCAGCCTCAGACATTTTCTTGTATTTGCCAGCCAACTCGGGCAACTCGTACGCAATGGCCACGTCCAGTTTGGTGATGGGACAGCCTCGGAAATATGTGCACGTTTCCGTCAATTTCTTGAACTCGTACAATGGATTCAAACGGAAGAAGTCACGATAGACTTCCGGATCGGGCAAGTCATACCGCGAGATGTTGGTAAGCGTGGAGAGGCCCTCGTAGATGTGATAATTCTGTGGATGATCGATGATATCATCGGCAATTCGCTTTTTGTTGCCAAAGAGCGTCTTATGGTTGTAATAGGTATTCAGATAACAGTCGACCATCTTCGCATGATTACGCACACGCACCTACAAAACAATTAAATGTTATCAGTGATAGTCCTGGAGTAGAGTTTCGCTTTGGGGACTTACAGCAAAACGACGAGCGCTGGCAATTTTGTGTTCAATACGTTTGTCAATAGCGGTGCGTAGATCACGCAGGAAGGCACGTTCCTGGGCAAGTAGCAGGCGTGCCGGAGCACCATCCTGATACGGATGCGTCCACAACGAGGTGGTGTACATGAGTGGTGGCTGCGCCGACGACATCAGCGGCGAGATGTTCCAAATGAGTGCGCCCTGCACGCGTAGCAATTCTTCAGGCTTGACGGTGTCTGCCTTGTTTAGAATGATGCGAGTCTGATACTCGCGGCCCTTCAGCTGATCGAGTATCGCCTCGGTCTCGGGGCCGACATCTAACTTGGCTGGGTCGTAGACCAGAAAGATGATGTCGGCGCGATCAATGAACCACTGGCAGGCGTCGTTGAAGGGAAATACGCGCGAGACCTGCTTGCGCACTTCGAGAATGCCGGGTATCTCAACGATGTTGACCTGAAATGCAGTGGCAAGAGTTTAAATTTAGTGGACGTCTTGTTATTTTCGGGGCCGACCAACCACCAATGTGGCTAAAATTGTTTCTGCATTAATTTTTTAATAACAAAATTAATACGAAATGTGTGTGCTATAAACGCGGTCGGGCACATTGCCAGAGAATTGCTAAATTTCGAAACAATTTCCCAATCGGCGGGATGCGCTGCCAAAATAATACTTGAGAGATAAGTAAATGCACTTAATAACAACAGCAAGCTTGTATAGTATAATGTCTGTCTGTCGAACGCACCTTCTCGAGCAACTTGCTCTTCATTTTCAAACCACGCAAGCGTTCCTCAAGACCCTGACCGAACTTCTGCAAGCCGGAGAACGTGTAGTCGGCGGCCAGTTGGGTGCCATCCAAAACCTCAGTCTCATTGCCCCACATCAGTATGTTGAAGTAGGCCGGTGAGGGCTCGGCACCTACATAAAATATATGCTATAGCCATTTGGGTCTTAATTTGAATACTAGATTGAGACTTACCAGTTCTTAGAGAGTTTGGCGTGTATTCGTTGTCTGTCAAATAGTTAAGAATAGACGACTTGCCGCCGGACCATGGACCCATGAACAAAATCAGTGGCTTCGAAAAGATCTCTGGATCGCTGAAGTGACGATTGCTCAAATCGCGGTATTTGTACATTGTCTCCAGTGGCTTAATGGCACTCTCGTAGATGCGTTTGATGTCGCGCAAGATAATCTCGGCGACATTGTCGGTGGCCTTTTCACGTGCATTGAACTCGTCGTCCAATTGCAGTAGCTCTGTGATGTGCTGACGGCTACGACGATTCTGGGGGACTTCGCCCTCCTAGAAAGAATTGTATAAATACCGTATATAATGATTTATTCTTTTTTGCAACCCACCCAAAGCAGCTCATCTTCTGGAGTGTCTTCCTCGTCTTCCTGAGGCTCGTCAGCAACGGCAGTTTCAACAGTCTGTGGTTCGATTGCTTCGGGCTCGATAACATCCTCATGTACCTCGGCTGCTTGTGGGACAACTTCTTCCTCGGCTTCTTCCTCGACTTCTACCACAGCAGGTTCTTCTTCTGCTTTTTCTTCTTCGACAACAGGCTCGGGTTCAGTCTCAGGCTCGGTTTCTACCGGGACTTCTTCAACAACTTTCACGATTTCCTCCTCGACGGGGAACTCATCAGCAGGATTTGGTGCTTCAACGTCCAAAACTGGAGCTGCATCCACATCGCGCTTACGACGTTTCTTGACGTCCTCTTCCTCCTCCTCTTCGTCATCGTCGACTTCGTGGCTATCATCATCGTGCTCATTTGGCACACCATCACCATCCACATCTTTGTCATGGATATTTAAGATGCCATCACCGTCCATATCCTCGTCTTTTTCGTTTTTCTTGTTGTCGCCATCAATGTCGTCATCCTCATCGTTTGGCACACCATCGCCATCGATGTCCATGCTCTTGGGTTCTTCGGAATTAGGCAGGCCATCACCATCAATATCGTTATCCTGATCATTCTTCACACCATCTCCGTCGATGTCGTGATCTTCTTCGTTATCTACACCATCGCCATCGATGTCCTCATCCTCATCATTTGGGGTGCCATCGCCATCGAGGTCAGTGTCCTCTGTACAATTTTAATTTAGTTCAAAAACAAATCAAACACACATTTTGAAATTTTAATACCATGATTGAGGGTACCGTCTCCATCGAGGTCATCGTCCTCTGCGCAAGCGTAAAATAACTATAGCACTACGATTGAAGAAAGCCGTTTGTTACTCACCATGATTAGCTTTACCATCTCCATCCAAGTCCTCATCCTCGTCATTTGGCAGGCCATCGCCATCCAAATCATTGTCGTCTATAATTCAAGATCAAATTAAATATCTTTCCGAGCAGTATATCTATATTGTAACCCTGAAAGTAACCAAATACCATACGTATTCGGTCCCTACCCACCATCATTTGGCCTTCCATCACCATCCAAATCATCATCATCTTTGTTAGGTATACCGTCGCCATCAATGTCATGATCCTTGGCATTTGGCACGCCATCACCGTCTATGTCCTCATCCTTGGCATTGGGAATGCCGTCGCCATCGATGTCGTTATCCTTGGTGTTTGGTATTCCATCGCCATCAATGTCGTCATCCTCGGTGTTAGGTATTCCATCGCCATCAATGTCGTCGTCCTCAGTGTTTGGTATTCCGTCACCGTCGATGTCATCATCTTCGTCATTAGGTATACCATCGCCATCAATGTCATCGTCCTTCTCATTCGGTATTCCATCGCCGTCAATGTCATCATCTTCATCATTTGGTATTCCATCGCCGTCAATATCATCGTCCTGATTATTGGGTATACCATCGCCATCAATGTCATCGTCTTCGTCATCAGGAATGCCATCTCCATCGAGGTCGTTTGCGCTATTCGCGTCCTCTGTGGAATCCACATCAGTTATTTCAACAGTTTCTTTCTCATTATTCCCAAGCCCACCATCATCGTCGTCATCATCGTCCCCCCTACGCGGTTGATCGGATTGCATTTCTCCAGAACCATTGCTACTCGTGACACCATCTAACGATTGGGGAAGACATGAAAATTAAAAGAGCTAAGAATGCTAGTCTCTAAGGTCTGTTAAGACTTACCTGTTTTCAATTCATTTATAGCCTTTTCAATGTAGGGTCGACATTCTGATTCGCTTGGTCCGACATCGGCATTGGCAAACCCAACTGCAAGTCATTACAATGAACATGACAGTTTAGTATTTATTGTTAGACTTAGTGGGGGGGATACGTAAGGAGCTGTGCTGACACTATTTTTGAGAACAATTGGTGCACCTTCGAGGCCATTTTATCTTTTTAAACTTGACATTATTTATGGTATGTACTCGCAACACACAAAAAAAATCTGCGCGCTTAATTTATGAATTTTATTTTTAAAAGTAGAATCTTCAAACATATTTATCGCCTTATATATGAGTGAATGGGTATAAATTTTAGTTGGCTACTCGCCCACTTCACCTTTCCGTTTCGCCTACTCTTCCCGCTTTATATACTTTTGTGTGTGTGTGTGTGTATCTGTGTGTGTGTGTGTGTGTGCGTTGGTAGATTCTAAGTAATTTAAGGTCGCTATTTCTTGAGTGACAGCTTTCTTTAAGGTCGGCGCTAATTACTAATAGCCAGGCACGTGGACGGGTGACTGAAAACAGCGGGACTGGAGTCCAACGAGGCTGCTCATTCTTAAGATCTAAGTATATATATATATTGGTATATAGCTAGCTATATTTTGTTCATGAAGCCATTTAGACCATTTTCGCTCTATTCAAGTTTATTTATGCTCGACTTTTATACGTTTTCAATATGCATTGTAGCCGTCAGCAGGTAATTCCTTAGATTTATTGCAAATACTCTGGGCAGGTTTTGTGCTATTTGAGAAATTTTGTGTTTCATTGCTTTCCGCATAAATAGAATTATTTATACAGTTTCGCCAGCCCTCACCGGCCCGCTAGCTGCATTATACTACTACGAGTATATTGTGTTTATGTTGGTGCAATCTGGCCGATCAGAACAAGATCACTTGTCCTCTTATTTGTGCTTCTTCTGCAAACAAAATCGCATACATATAGCAAAACATTTGCTCAACACACAAAATAACTTAAGAATTCTAAATATAAAAATATTACAAACGATGACAACCAAGAGCGACCAACCAAACAGCTACCGAAGGCGATCGTTTGCGTTTAGCAGTATACTAAGTATATGTATCGCGTATATATAATGTTGGGCAAAATTGTAGATAGTATTTTCAAAGTGTCGTCGCTGACGTTTGCACACAGATACAGATACATAGATACACACAACGCACAAGTCAGCCAAATATTTTTAAATATGTGGTGGTTGATACACATATATATTTAAAAATTTTTGTTCGCCGTTTTTTCCTGTCTTTTTGTTATAAAAATTGCATAATGCCTGGCCTGACGGACGCAATTTGCGGACTATTTAAAATTATGCTGCGCCCTAGACTTATATAATAGTAGGCCCTTCTAGGTTCTATTGTTACTCACCATTATTGGAGACGGCGATTAACGTTAGTCCCAGCAGGAACCAAATAGTTAGCCGCCCCATAATAATCAAATCAAAAAAGTATCCTTGAGTTTCCCAGCGTGGTTAGCACTTTTGCCACGTCATATATTTTTATTTTTTCTCGAACTTTTCCGTAATTATGAATAATTAGGAAAAATTATAAAATCACTTGCTCGTATTCTGCATATATATCCGCTATATATGCGCTCGTTTAAATGCACTGCATGAGAAATAAAAAATGCATTATTATTTATTTTAATATAAATTATTTTTGCAAATATTTATATTAAGCATTTATATGGGAATATAAATATATTTATTATTATTTATAATTAGGGGCTCGCACAAATTTCTTTGCTAAATAATTCTTTTTAGAATCTTGCACTTATTCGTTTTTTGTCACTTGGCAGGTCGTTTTTGGATTTCGCGTTTATTTCTTTATCATTGAATGCGGCCGTGCCTTTAGCCATTTAACCAACAATCGTCGGCTGGGTAATCCTTTGTGTCCCTTTCGACGATTGTCAGCTAAATAATTTGCTTATTTTTGGCTCGTCGTCTGTGCACGCCGTGTGCGTGTCGTTTTTTGAATAGCCACGAATTTATTGGTACATATATCTATTTTCTGTTAGAGCCAGCAAGCAGCCAGCAGCAGGCAAGCAATTTCAAATGAAATTCTAATTCAAATTCTACTTTGCGTACACGAGTATACGAGACGATCTCTCCCGGTCCAAAACCAATTCGTAACTCAACTTGCATATACCATGAATTTACCTTGTGACCGCGAAAATATTTTGATTTTGATATTTGTGTAGCAAAAATTGTCAAAAAGCACACAAGCTGAGTGAGTTTTTCTGCTTTGGCCGCCTTCTGATCTTCCTTCTGCTCAGCGTTCTTTTATGTGTTGGGGACAGTGGCGGTGTGTTTGTGGGATACCAAAAAATTGTGTCATAAATGAAAAGTTGAACAGAGAGAGAAAAATAAAAAATACTAAATTATTTATATTGTAGAACTTTTTAAAGTACAGCCTAAAATTAAATTACAATAAATAATTATTCTCAAGAGACGCTTTTTCTTGTCATAAAACAAATTAGGTGAACAATGGAAACGAAAGGAATATAAATGATAAATGTATGTATAATAATATGTGCCCTCCAACTATCTCTCTTTGTATTGCCTATTCTTTCCATATAAAATATAATTATATAATACGAATATTTCTCAGATTATCACTCAAACTCCAATCTGACAAATTTCTAAATTCAACTTGCATGAACATTTTTAGTTTTATAACATTTAAGAGACTGGTATGGCTCCAGAAGAAACTAGAGTAGAAGCATTGCTTGATTTATCTTTTCAAATCTTCTTTCCGTATACTGCAAGAACTCGAATAGAATCAGACAGAGCTTTCCTTCCTTATCCTTCCGATTGTGCTTCAAGTACAAACGGATAAGAACGGGCTTTTTAATCATGATCCTCGGGATTGTCGGGCTGCAGACTTCCAACGACTTAATGATGCGTAGAACTTGGACAATCATGCAGAAAGGTGCCGATTTTAGAAGTCTTCAGACCCGTCATCCTTAGCCATTTCAATTGTTTTTTTTATCACGCCAACAAAAAATTCCTTGTAAAATCTGTCGTATGAAGAAATGAAGTCTTTCTTCACATAGAGTTAGTTTTAAAAAATTTATGAAAATAGTAGTAGAGGATAGTATTCTCTCTAAGATCCCAGCACTGAAGAAGAAGCTCTGCTCATGTTCTGTTGGAGCACTGTTTAATAATAGCAAATGCTATCCCATTAGAAACCCACTCAAAAGTACACGCTGCTACAACGTTCTCATAATTTTTCATTTTGAGTAAATTATATGTCTTTTCGAAGGCAATGGAATGAGAATCTGCCAACGCTCTCGCTCAGCAGTGAAAGCTGTCAGAGATCCTCAAAAACATCGGCAAACTATAGGGCTAGGCCATATGATTTGTTTGTAGTCAGAAGCGATTTATTTCAACTCATCTCTTGGTGTCGCACTCTCGCGCTCAGTAGCCTGTGATTACAAAAATAAAATTGAAAATCTTAAATATTAAAATGAACATTTCTTGTAGCATTTATCACTGCTCATTTGTACGCTTGATTGCCCGAACAGCTGTTGGCTGTGTCTTTCGGTCCAAGGCGATGCCTCGCCACAGACAAGTGCAAAATGCCTCAACTCATTGCGTTTATTAGCGCATAATGCAAATCGAAATTTTGCTCGGATTCATGCGTCCCCGTCCATGTGAGAGGCTACACTGCATTCGATTTATGTAATACTTTTCTTTTGAATCTGATATTCTTCGCCTGAAACTACCTATGTTTGAATAAAATAGTTGAACAGTCTTCAAGAGAGAGGCTAGACTGCATTCGATTTACGTAATACTACTTTAATTTATTTGCATAAAGTTCTCTTTCAAGCATATCTTCAATAGCAATAGTTGACAGAACTCTTCAATTTTAATTTCCGAAGCGAAGTTCATGTTCAACCCTTAATTTCCATAGAGAGACTGCACTATATTAAATTTTTGAAATACTTTGCTTTTATCTGATATTATTTGGTTAAAACTGTGTTCGGGGCACTTTTTTTATGGCAATATTTGACCGAAATCTTATATTTTCATTTACAAAGTGAAGCTCATTTTTTCAACAATTAATTTTTATAGGGAGGCTACAAATATGAAATTAATTCTGCTTAAAGCTGTGCTTAAAACGAACTGTATTAAACTGGCATCAAATATTCAGCGGAAATCTTACATTTTCATTTACGAAGTGAAGTTAATTTTTTCAACCATTCATTTCCATAGAGTATAGCCTATACGGCATTATATTTACGTAATATTTCCTATTTAAGTGGGATTCTCTGCTTAAAGTTGTGTTTGATGCAAAACTTTGATGTCAATATTTAACAGAAATTTTAAATCTTATGCGTTTTTCATGAAATGAAGCCTATGTTTTGAATAATCAAATTCAATAAATTGAAAAAATGCTACTACTTATTTGTGTTGAACTCTTATATAAACGCATTCTTGTTATTATAAAAACTATATTATTTTACAATAGCGAACCCAATTTAAAAGCTAATCATAGAAACACGAATTAAACGTTTCAATAAGGTAATTGATATTTATCGAATCGCATTTTTCCCAAACAAATTACGAGAAAATGAAAAATGTATGAATGGGTTATTCTCTTACTATTAGAACTGTTTTGTAAAGAATCAGCCTATTAGAGCTAAACAAAATAACTGAAAAGCTTCTCTTACATCTTCCTCTCAAGTAAGAGATAATTCTTTCATCACATAGAAACGACGTGTGAATAAATTATTCATAGTAGCAACATTGTTTTTTGTTTATGTTTTGTTTTTGTTTTGTTAATTTATATTCAAACATTATATAAAATTTTATTTAAATTGGTGCATTATATCATAAAGCTGTTAAATAACCCTTCTCCCTGGTTTATTGGGTGGATAAGATTATATTTAAATATATACCAGTGCTTAACACAAAATTTAAAGAGAGCAAGAAATTTAAACTCTCCACACTTAGTAGCTTGGGCTGTGCTTTGATAAGTTATTTAGTTAATTACACTTTAAAATTTACTTTGATTATTATTTATGGCATTGTATAGTTGAGAAAGTCTTTTCTTTTAAACCTATAGAAGTATAATAGTGGTATTATATATTCCATTTACCTTTTAGTTGAGTCAACATTCATATTTACGCTGATTTATGAATTCAGCTTATGTGAGTCAGCTAAAATATTGCATTTAATGGCTCATCAAGAACCACTTTTCTTTTATCTTATTTGAAATTTAGTTTTATTGTTTTCGTCTCATGCATAAATCCTATTTGCAGGAATGTGCGGAAACTTAGTTTACGGCGCGTCGGAACTTTTAATATGAATTGCTTATAAAATTAAACACGCATCTCACATCGAGAATTTGCGTACTCTTCTAAATGTAGTCATAAATATAGGTTGCTATAAATAAATATAAATTTAAATATTTAGTGGGCTTCATTGCCACTATGTCTCTGCTTGTTTTTCGTGCAGTAATAACGATCGCTATTCTCGATCCAATCGCAGACATTCAAAACGGTATGAAAAGCTGTGCCCTCCTTGCACTCGAACTCAACGGGCTTGCCGTGCACACAACGGATATACTGGAAAATATAAATTCACATAGATATTCGGAGAATATACGAATGGGAACCCACCTTTCGGCAATTGGGATGAGGCACATAGTCACGATTGGTGCAGTCTATTTCGCTTGGATCGAATTGAGGACCGGCGGGCTGCTCGGGATCTACAATTTCCTCTGGCTCTTCTGTGATTTTCTCGGGCATTGGCGTGCTTGTTGTTGTTGTAGTCTTACTAGTCGTAGTCTTCTTGGGTTTCTTAGGTCTCTGCAAGTGTGTGTGTGTGTGTGTGCCTCGTTGAATGATGTGTAAAATAAGCGACGAACTGTCAACCTACCTTTGTAGTTGATTTCTTGGTGGTGCTGCTCGCTGTTGGCACCGGCGCTTGCGTTGTGCTCACTGGTGCTGACGTAGGTTTTGGCTTCGGTTTGGTCGGCCTACGCGTCGTCGTCACCGCTGGCTGTACAAAGGCGTCTTCATCGGGATTGGGCGGTGTGGCGGGCGGTTTCGCCCACTCTGGCTGCAAGTGCAAAACAGCAAAGCATATTCATTGGCTTTCGTTTGGCATGGGTCCAACAACTTACTCTTGGCGTCGTTTCGCGCGTCGGTTCCGGCACACGATAGTTTTTCATATTATCGTAGAGTATCTGCATTAGTCCATTCTTGGGACCGCAAAGTCCATGAAAATCGTCCATATCAATGGCCCAAGTCATGGCGCCCGCATAGCCCTTGGCCTTGATGAAGTCCATTTTGATCTGCACCGATGCCTCGTTCTCGTAGCCCACCCACTGTGTGTCCTTGTAGGTGTACGGCACCATGCCCGCATCATCCCATTCAACTGTCCAGCCTTTCGATTTGTCCATTACTTCAGTGCAGATCTCATAGTAGGCCAAGAATCCACTGGCATTGGTATAGGGTCCCGGAGCCCCACCACCCGCTTCCTTGTTGATATATGTGCCCATATTATAGTTTTTGTTGGACTGGCTCAGTGTGAATGTGCGGCCGTAGAATGGTACGCCAACGACCAGCTTGTTGGCCGGGCAGCCCATCTCCTCCCACAGCGCCAGGCCGTCATTCTTGAATGGCATTGCTAATTAGTTGGCTGTGTCCCATCAAAGCTGTATGATGCAGATACTTACGACATTTAGTTTCTCGTAGGCGTACTGATCGTGTTTGCGTTTGTACAACGGACTGTGCACATCGGCGAAGCCGGCCCAGTTTCCCCGCAGATCGTATGTCATTGCGTGTATGGCATCTAGTAGTCTGTGTTCGAAACAAAACTGAATCAGCGCCAGCAGATTAGTTCTAAATTTTGACTTACTCGCACAACTCAGGCACATGATAGCCCTCCTGCAGCCGGAACTTGGCCACCGGCACGGCCATAGTTATTTCCCAGCCACGTCCCTCACGATCAAAGGCACGCCGCAGCTCCTGCACAAAGTATAGGAATTTGTCCTTATCGCCGTAGGAGCCACCACGATCCGTCGCGCCAGGATATTCCCAATCCAGATCGAAGCCATCGAAGTCGTACTTCTTCATGAAGTTGACTACGCTTCGTATGAAGCTCTGACGACGCTCTCGCACCGCTGACATTTTCGAATACTTCGAACCACCCTCGGCCCATCCACCCACAGCTATTTGTAGCTTCAACTTGGGGTGCGTCTGACGCAGTTCCGTGAATTTCTTAAAGCCCTCCTGATCCACATCCAAGTCAGGATCAATGACCAACACATCCCAGCCCTCGTCGTTCACACCGATGAACGAGTAAACGAGATGTGTACACAAATCGGCGGGCACATCCTCCAGTCCGTAACGCCCAATGCCCGGACGATACACGGCCCAATTGCTGAAGTAGCACACAATGCGAGCAGGCTGATCGCTCGCCCGACACACCTGGCCGGCACAAAAGACGATGAGCAGGGCCAGCAGCAGTCTCTGGCAAACATGATGATGCACTATGTGGGGAAATAGAGCGTCGATCAGATATTGCCTGGCTTGGTTGCTTGGCATTTAAAGTGAATTCGAAAAGCGTCTGGAATCGTCTGGTGTTACGACTTGTCTTATTCGATTTGTGCCCTCTACACGACTTGCATACGTAATGCCACATGTTTCGTAAAACTCTTTGAGTGCACTTGAAGGTTTAGTGTTTATGTATTTTTGATCGTGCTAAGGTTACGTGCCCATAATTCTGGATACACGGAGTTCATTCACCGTTCGTACTTAGAAGAGAGACCAGCGCCAACTTATGCATTATGTATGCGCGACCAGGCTTACCCATTTCTTAATGCTCCACACTCTCGACACTCGCGACTGGGACTCAGTTTTTGGATTACGATGCGCAACCGACGTTCGTTTGCCACCAAATGACACTCAAATAATCGCCAGCAAAGCTTTTATAGTGGGAGGCACGGCGTCTGCTTCGGTCCGGTTCTTTGAGCGGGCCTTTGTTCCTGCGTAAAGTGCGTGAGACGCGACGCTTTGTTGTTTTGATGATTGTGTTCGTGTTGTGCTCATTTAAAGATCACCACCACCTCAGTAGCCGCGTCTTCGACTTTCTTTCATTTCGTTTGTTTTGCATTCGCTTTTTATGGGCTGCTTTTAAAAAATAAACCGCACGCTTTTGTTTATGTTCTAGAATTACCATATATCTGTGTGACTGTGTGACAGGCGCATTGGGGGGCACGACTCGGGAGCCAGGTTTAAGGTTACGCTGTGCATTCGCAACGATGGGCATCCTGGCATGAAAGTGCAGCTACAAATGGCAAAAGAGTTCAATGGCCACTTGACCAACTTAATGGACCAAATAACTTAGCCAGCAAATTATTTAAAAGTCAGAGGTTTTAATGCACACAAGCTTTTGCAACTACATATAGTATTGAGATTGGAAACTTAGGTCTAACTAAGTGCCAATACGCAAGTCAATATTCAGAGCTGGTTCCTCTGTGGGGGTAGTTGTTGTTGGAGTAGTTGTTGTTGTGACAGCAGCTGTGGGCTGAGGCTGAGGCTGAGGCTGTACCCTATCGGTTGTGCTTGTTCTGGGCTCTGCGGGCGTAGCTTTTGCATTATCATCTAAAGTAAAGTCACAAGTATGGTCTATAATTAAGACAACCTTAAAGGTAATGAGATGCACCTACCTCCAAATGGCGCCAAAGGTGCCTTAAAAGGATACTCTGGTGTCTTGGGAGGAAAGTGTCCATAGCCAGGCGGCGGAAATCCATGGGGTGGAAAACCATGAGACGGAAAACCATTATGCGCCCGTGGACCAAAATCATCAAAATCAAATTCATCGGAGTCATGATGACAACCCTGATGATGTTGATGGCCATATCCATGTTCCCACTTCCTAAGATGAGGATAGTCGGCGTGGTGGGGATGGCTACGATGGCGCTTGTGACTGTGGTTGTGGCTGTGGATGTGGCTCCTCTTCAAGACCGGCGCCACTTTTAACGAAAGTGACTTTTGCGTTTCCTCTGCTACCAGATCATCATTTGTATAGGCGCTGTGGTCGTAAAACAAGATAGATAGTTATAGTCGAGCAGGCCTGATAGTAAAAACAGATACTTTTTAATGTTTTCCACATCCAAAGCAAGAGCAAAGAAATAAGAACAGAGAACAATTTTTAAAAATATGATGTTCTATGATAGTTTTAGTGTGGTTTTGGAATTGTGAACAGTATTGACAAAATTCTGTAGAGGGAGATGAGGAGGGACTAGGAAAGGGTGCGTACCAAGTGTGATCAAAGTTGGTTCAGGTGTTTCCAAAATACAGGCTTTCATACATGCAGACGGACGGACAGATAGATGTACAGAAATGTCTAGATCGATTTGTCTTATGGTGGTGACAAAGAATAGTTTCAATTTATGGCGGTAGAGATGCGTCCAATAAGAATATAAATTAACTTTGATCCAGGACTATAAAAAAGCCAAAGCTTAATACTTACGCATTGTCAATGGAAGGTGCAGCCATCAGTTCTTGCACCCCGAGGCTCACCAGCAGCAGAGCAAACTATAAAAAAATATCGGAAAAATGCTCTGTTTTTTTATTTCTTTATTTAAATCGAGAGGCTTACCAATGCACTGCACGGCCGTTGCATATCTGTGAGGTTCGTAAATCTGTCGCTTCGAGTTGAACTTCACGGCTTAGCTACAGAAAGCTGACTAAAACGAACGAGTCGGCCGATTGACTTTATTCCGCACAATTAAAGCCGCTACAATGTCAATGTTAGGTTTTTTTATATTTTTCAACTCAGACTTTGAGTATTTTATCTGCGCATCATTGGAAGCAGCGACATCAAGTATTGTGCAAACCTGATTGGTTTAATGATTTTACAGGTTTTTGAACGCTCATATGCAGGCTATTTCTGAATGTATCAACGCGTGTATTTAAAGTTAATTAGCACATTGTTGTTGTCGCTTTTTTTCCTTATATCTAGAGGGCTCGCAATATGACTACAGTTGAGTGAAATATCGGAACGCGTTTGTGGTGCGAATTTTTTTTGACGTCACTTGGCAGCGAGTCTTTATCATTTTGAATACAGATGTTGTGGTAATTTACGCGGCTGTCTTAAATTTCGCAACTATTTTTTAACGGAAACTGTACAGTGAAGCAGCACTAAGCTGTAAAGAAATATATGTTCTTTAAAACAAAGTTTTACTCTCACTGTTGACATAAATATTTATGACTAATTCCCCATTCATCGTAGGCGTTTTTGCACGCATTTCTTGCGGCGCGTGCTCTACACACTGGAAAAAAACGACTCTCTGTTTTTCTGAAATAAAAGTTATATTGAAAATGTGATGAACAGATGGACCAGTGGAAAGTAACGATAATATCGTGATAGACCATTAATGGAATGAAAGCTTGACATTAAGCCGACCAAAAACATCCTAATCATCAATTTCTTTATAGTCTTGATATCAACAATCGTCGCCTTAAAGAAATATATCTACAATGCAATCCTCGGAAGTTTTAACCCTTTGTTTATTATATCTTAAAGTTTAATATATTACATTTGCTCAATTTTATATTAAAATTTCTTTATATATTAAATGGGTATACAACAAGCTACAACTTTCTGTTAACATTTCATCCACGACCTCTGAAAGTCCTTATCTTAATAATTACTTATTCTATGACTACTTTCAACATAGGTTTGTACCTTATTAATCAACCTGTCCGTGCATGGCTCTGCGTCCAAACAAATTCCCATCTGCCAATCAAACAGCTTTATAAAATTATAATGATCTCTTAGGCCTCCAGGGTCCAGCAGAGCCATTAAACTTAAATACTGCTCCGACTAGGCTACACTCTCTTGCATACAGCGACTCAAACTCAACCTCAACATCACCGTCACCGTGAATAAATTTCCACGATGTGGTCGTTCGGATGATCGGCCCATCAATCACGGTATTTTACGTAGTTGCACTCTTGGCGGTATGATAAATCCGCTTGGTAGCAATACGAGTATGTAGATCAAGAATAAATAAAGAAAAAGCCGTAAGCAAAGGTTTCTCGAAACCCACAAAGTGTATTTGTACTGTACATTACTTGTTAGTCATCGGAGCCAATACTTGTAGTTGTTTTCAAAATTGTGAACTCAAATGTCAAAAGTTACGATTGTTCGAATACACTAAAACACATTTGACGAGTGAGTTCAATTTAATGTTTTCGTAAATTAGTACATACAAAGCTGCCTTAAGTCTGGTTGGAACAGCTAAACCGAAAATGCAACCCATAAAGTATGCTTGGATTTTGTTCGAAACCTAGTTGGCAATGCTTTCCACTCGAAAGTGATTTGAATTATTGGACATTATTGAATGAAATGGACACCAGATTGCGTTCACAATGTAAATGAGAAAATGTGAAGAATTAATTAATTCCAAAAGATACATTCAGAATTTTCAACCGATTGCATTAAAAATGGTGTCTACACGTTGAGAACAAATCCGAAACAAACTGCTCTCGTCGTTTTTTTGTTTTAATTTTTGGGGCTGCGTTATTGGGTTTTTGTGTCAAAATTTGGAACTAAAAAAAAATTGTCTCAAAAATTCGAACACTAAAGGACTCTTAAGCTTGTACTTTAATAAAAGAAATATATCGGCGTTTGAACTTATTTAGAATTATCATCTCAAAATAATATATTACAAAATATTTGAATTATGTATGGTAGCTAATACTAGGTATAGAGTTTGATAACTCTTTCTTTATCACTAGGAAATCTAGCATTCAGAAAAATGATGTGATTAGTTGGATTAGGATTATTATTGTCCCTGTTTTTTTATAGCCTGTACCCAAAGGGTGAAAAGCTATACTAGTTTTGTGCGCATGTATGTAACACACAGAAGGAGGCGTGGCAGACCCCACAAAGTATATATATTCTTGATCAGGATGAGAAGACGAGTCGATATAGCCATGTCCGTCTGTCTGTATGAGCGCAAGGATCTCAGTAAGTACAAGAGCTAGGATAACCAAAATTGGTATCAAGGTTCCTATAAGCCCTAGGCAGAACGAGTTTGTTTATTTTTTCTGATACACCCCCCCCCCCCCCCCACTCCCCCGCTATTCGTATTTTTTCTGATAACTTCCGTAATTCTCGGAATTTTGAAATCAATTTTGGTAGGTACATCCAGTTAGTACTAATGTGTCCGTGTGCCGAATTTCATCATGATAGGTCAATTCTGAAGAAAGTTATAGCCATAAGTAAAATCGCTGCTCATGCGCTGCCTGCAGCTCTGTCGGCAGCGCTGCCCGCAGCTGTTGTTGTTGTTGCTGCTTTGGTTCAACTTTGTGCTGCATACATACACGCATATAAACACGCATAGGTACGTGATGTAAATGTATGCTGTTTAAACTGAACATAAACATGTATTCTAATTTAATTTAATTAATTAATTCATTAACTTTTTTTAATCATTTAATTTTTTTTTTGAATTTTTTTTTTTTGTGGAGAGTACAGGCTATTTTACTGTCGGGCTTGCTCGACTGTAGCGTTCTATCTTGTTTTCTTGTGAATTAAAGTTGAATATTTACCTGCGACTGTGTTTTTAAGCGACTTCAAAAAAGGAGGAGGTTATCAATTTGCCTGTATTTTTTTTTTTCAAAAAAAATCTAATAGAAAAAAAGTAGTCACTCGCTGGAGACTAATCAGGGATTGACATTATTAAATCATACACCCTGTTAATATAAGTCTGGATAAGCAAGGTTCAACTGTAACTCTGCACAAGAGTTAAAAAAATTCGTACACATTTTTAAACTGGTTTTGGGGCAATTCACGTTATTTATGATTTCTGAAAAGCTCTACGAACCAATAACCACACAAGTTGTAACCTAGAATTGTTTCCGGTGTAGTTATATGCTAATGTGATATTAAACATTTGATAAGGCTTTTAGAAAGTTATACATACGAGTGTGTAGAATGAATGCTCTGCTTCTGTGCGCTTGTGGTGTCAGAAATAAACCAATTTCACCAGCTTTACCCACATCTTGGCCACTGCCCAATCAACTAGTCGTCGGCCAGCCACCCACACACACACACAATGCCAGCAACTGTTGCCCCTCCCGTTCCCGATGCGTCTTTGTGGCTGTTTGTCATGCCTTAAGTGTCGTGTCGCGCCTGCCGCGGTTTTTATTTTGCTGTGTTTTGGTTGTTGTTGTTGTTGTTTTTTTTGCGGCACACGTATCAGCATTTTGATATTCATTGTGATTCATGCCGGAGACCAGCCCGGTTGTCGACGCATTCACATTTTGTTTTAATAGACTTAACATTGATCTTGAATTGCGCTGCGAGCGCTTCAATTGAGGCACGTCTCGTAACTGCGCCCAGCGGCTGGGCATTGTACAAATATCTTCCTGTTCCGTACTACGAGTAGTTGGCGAAAATAAGAGAATTTCCATTTGAATTTTCAACTATTAATCTTTATTGATAACATTTGTCGCTTGCAGTGTCAATTTTGTCTCGTTTGTAACTTGTATGTCGTACATTAGGTATATATATATATATATATGTAGTATATATATAATTAGGTATATGTGTATATATGTGCAATAAATATTTGTGTTTTATGGATGCTGCAGCGGGACTCAATAATTTTCAATAGATATATTTATATTTTTTTTCGACAATATTAGACTTCGGGCCGCTAATTATGGATGCAACTTAATTGTAATGATAAGGTGGCCAATATTCGCTTGTTTAGGGTCCTACTTAAGCTTTGACTCTGCCTGCTCCCTTTAGCTTTGTGCAGCAATAACTTAATCCGAAAAGCATTTGAAGCAAAATGTACAAATACATATAGCACCACGAAATATACAAATATATATAAGTGTATGTATGTATATCAAATAAAAATTGTATAGCGCTTGATGACGTTTGTTAAAGAACTAAACAAAAATTGTGTAACAACTAAAAGCTAGTAACTTAAAATATGTTTGTACAATTTGCATGCCATATATGTATGTCTGTATCCTATATATGTAGTATTTATGGATGTATGTATATAACTAATTATTTCTTACTTTGTTCATATCATATACTTGTATTTCATATTTAACAGTTTATCGTTGTATGCATGTGGCGATATATAGGTATGGGTAGGGTTTATGTTTATGTTTATTTATCTACGATATATTCATATGTATATTCTCTGTATAATTTCATGCAATTCTCAATAACTTTTCAAGTTATAGCATAGACAATAACTTTAACTAGCATTGTAGTATGTATGTATATTTAGATTTGTATGTAAACATTATCATTGACTTGCATTGCCGTTTAAAAACATTTATCAACACTTGTAATCATCTCATCTCATCTTTTCAATAAACGAATATAGTATGTATATATGTATAGTATATAATAAATTGCCCGTCTAATTGACCTAATTTAAATAATTTGATTTGTATGTACTATATAGTATATATAGATTTAAAATTAATATATATTAATATATATATATATATATATATATATATATATATATATATATATATATATATGCATGTATTTCAGCGTTATGTTGCTTGGGTTTTAAATACAATTAAATTATATTCTTGTGATAGGTACGTTTGCAATTGCAATTGCCAAGGTTTTGAAGGCTTTAAGGTTTCCGAAGTTCTTGAATGGTGCGCCGTGAGTCCGTGAAGTTGACGATTCTACGATTTCGTTCGATTTAGATATCTTATCGCTATCAACTACACACTATCTTTGATGCCATGCTGCTGTTTGATTTTCTATTTAAAAACTCTAATTTTATTTGTATATCAAATGCAATAGTTGGCTCAAAAATTGTTCTTATCATTGTTGGTATGTATATTGTTGAGTCTCTATATAGTTGTTGCTGTTGTTGTTTATTATAGTCTGTATGTCTGCACTATATAGGTATGTATGTATAGTATATTAAAGGACTTTATAGGGGAAAATGCGCTACTTCTCAAAGTCTATTACAAAAGTCTTCACTGTTATTGTATTTAGTTTTGTCAAGACAAATGTTTGCACATGCCACTGTCCTTTCATTAGCCTGCAATCGAAATGATACAAAAAAATGCACAGGAACGTTTACAAAACTGACATCAAAGTTACAATATACTCGTGCATGCAATAGACAATAATTAACTGACTGCCAACAATCTTTATGATAGTTTAAAGAACGCTTTTCTAACACTTTATGTAATTGATTTAACATTGACATTGATATGTTGCATCTTTGATTTCCACATATGTATACAAACACACATATGTACATAGAGTTTATATGTATATTGTATAGTATATAGTTATAGGCATATATATGCATAGTTTACGCTCTAACAACACAAATTGTTTACGATGCTTGCTCAAAAATTCGTTAATTTGCCCCTCAATTAATTGTTGCTGGTGAATAGTCTTTTAACAAATTTTTACTTCAGTCCCATATAAAAAACATTGATATACGAATTCGCTATTTTGTTGTTGTTTCGATTTCGATTAAATTGTTAGCAAAGTTTTAGTTTGATTTTTAATATAAATGCAGCTGTTATTGTGCTTCTTCTTTTTTTTCTTCGGTAGATTTTTATATATTTCTTCTTTTTGTTTTCATTTAACTATAAAAATTGTCGCGTTGTTGGTATATCGGCAGTGGTTCGCTTGGTGATTCCGAGCGGCGTTGTTCCTCATCGCTCGCCTGGTTCGACTTTCCGGCTGTTTTCGACATGGCTTTCTCTGTGGAAGAGAGTGGAACAGTTTGTTAGTTATATATGTTTTAAATGATGATTTCAATGATGCCACAAAACCTTCCGAAGCGTGCTGTAATAGTTAGGAAAAGTACGTAATAGAAAACAGTTGAATATATGCTTGTAAGTTTTTTGGTTTGTTTGTGTAGATATGTATGTATGTTGGTATGTAGCAAGTATAGTATGTTTGTTTGGTCGCTGACTGCAGTTAGTTTTCTGGTGCATTCGAGCTTATACTTACTCATCTGTTGAGCGTTTCTGCGCAATTGACTGTTTAACACGACTTTTTACGCATTTTAAGCAGTGCAGCAAAATTGATTAACCACTAAGCGAATATTTTGAATGCAAACTAAACTTTTCTCCTTTCTCATTTTTTTACGATATCCACATCTTGTAAATGCCCTTTTGCAGAATTTTCTAAAACCTAACTGTGTAGACTGATTGAATATTTAGCAGGCTTGTTCTCTTTTTTGAATTCGAGCTTATTTTTCAGACTGAAATGAAAATCGATAGTACATCACTAGTTTTGAGATAAAATCAGCATTCACCACTTTCGATTCCGCATTATTTAATCGAATTCGGAAGGAGATGCTGTCCCCTATAGTATAGAGCCTATACAACTGATAAAGTATCCTAAAGTCTATTTGTTTCTGTCCATATTTTGAACAAGCAGATTAATTTTTTGTTCTTTTTTTTGTTAACATTGTCACAATAGTTGGGTTTTTTATTACTTTAACTTTTATGTTATGGACACGTTATGCAAATTATCGCCATTATTATTAAATTATAAATTATTATACAGCGATTACATATTATTTATGTTTTCAACATCAATAGTTTAAATAGACTTTGTTACTGTATTATAGAATATTTAGTAAAATATATGCTTTTTAATAACCTATGTAGACCAACAAACAACTACAAATTCTCAACTTAAAATTTCATTTCTTTTTTAAATTTTGAATCAAAATAAAAAAAATAAAAAAAAATACTACGTCTTTAGTTTCAAAAGTTTTCTTTAGTAAAATTAAAATTATTTATCGAATATTTAACTATCAGTTTTTTATTTATTTTATGATGAACTTTTTAAAGTTTTTTAATAAAATATGTTTAAAGTCTGTTAAAACCATAGACGCCTGCATAGATAACTTAATAAATTGAAAAGTTTTTTCAATTTACTCTTAGTGGATATCACTGTGAATGTAAATTTAAGACTTCTGGGACTGCCTAACATTTCATTTATAAAAATTAATATTGCAAACCAAAATATCAAGAACTTCTCAGAAGATAATATGTCTTCATATTTGCAGTTATTTTTCCACTCTTCTAACTGAAAATGTCCTTTTAATATAATTCCACTATTTGAGTACGGTGCGCTCATTACAAGTGCTCTCTGGGTTGTCCGCTAGACTAACTTTTTTTTTGAGTGTATATTGTTTAACTACTTTGGAGTGTGGTTGTTTGTTGGGGAGTGACTTTTTGTGAGTGTTTGAGTGAAGGTTAAAATAATTGTATCAGTGCTTTAGGAAAGAGCGTGCTGGATAGTTAGACCAATCCAATATATATATAGTAGATATATCTATTATTTAAACCGCCTTTTCTCTTACAAGCTAATCAATTGAAGGCCGTTGATATGGACAGCAAACTACATTTATAAAAATGTGATAAATTGTACAAACCTTGACTTACGATATAGTTTATCTGTGGTGCTTATTGTTGTTGTTGTTGTTGCTATTGCGTTGATGTCTATATTGTTGTAGTTGTTGTTGTTGTTCTTGTTGTCGTTTAGTATATTTTGTGAATTGTTTGTTTCGATTTGCATTTGCAATTAATTGAATTGCGTGAGCTTAGCATGCTTTAATCTCAGCTTCGCGTGTCTTTACTGTGATTGCATTGTGGTGGTATTACATATATATGTATGTTTGTATGAATGTGGTAGTGGTTGTTGTTGTTGTTATTGTTTGCTGTTGTTCTTGTTGCTGTTAAGTTGTATTTTGTTACTCGTATGTGCGCGAATGTTTGCGAATTATTGCGAACATTCCTTTTCACATACATAATTCTCAATTAAATGTAAACAAACCAATTGCAACAACAGAAATGCAAAAGAACACAAAAACACAAAATGTGAACACAAAATAAAACGACGACAGCTACTACATATTGAATTAGTTTTGACTAGTGGGATTGCCTAGAAGTATGCAAAATAAATAAAATAAAATAATAAAATAATATTGTTAAAAGTATAGTACATGGTACAAGAATATGGTCGAACATAAAATATATTGTAACAATAAAACATTTCAAATACTTTAATAAACAAACATTTATTAACTGCACGTTTTCAAAGTCTTAAAATGTTGATATGCATGGCGTATGCGCTATTTATAAAACTTCATAGAACTTAATGCATATAGATATTAGGTATTGGGTATATAATTCGATTAGAGGGCTATACATAGTTATACAATAATGGTCGAGGTGCCATGTCATATGAGAAGGGCAATGTAGGCAACATGTTTATTGTATAACATGTATGATTGACTGACTTTATAGTATAGAGTTGGTGTTGGTGTTGTGGTGTATGTGGATTAGATGAAATGAATTCTCTTTCACGCCGCGCTGGTGATGAACACGCAATGAAGTGCAGGTGAAACGCTTGGGGTTTTTATATGGAAATCGTAAGGATGAACTTTGCGCTCTTTATAATATTTAGTATGCATATGGTATGTATTTATCTTTAATCATCTAAAAAGTTAGAGAAAGTTGAAAGAGATACATAGATTAGAAGAGAAGAAGTGACAGTTTCATTTAAAAGAGGGATCGGTCAGGTTGATATTTTGAAACACACGTATATGATAGAGAGCTGTACCAACTCTGGCCATTTAAAAAACACTGAATTAACGCTTAGAAATATTTACACACTCATTATGTAAAACATGAAAGAATATAAACAATTTCCTATTTAAGCATATTAGTATTTTGAAAATCAAATGAAAACATTGAACAAAAACGCAACTTGCAAAAGGCATTGCACACAATTTGCTGTTATATCAATGGGATTTGTTTAAAATAACGCAAAAATAATCCTTATGATCAGCGGCAGCACATGAAAACGTGCAGTAATGGGCGTCTAGGCGATATTCTTTTTACTCACCAGCAACTATCTTGCTAACTTGCATGACCTGTTGGGCCAAGATCTGATTTAGTTGCAGCAAGTGTTCGCGTTGTTTCTTTTCCGCATTGATCTTACTGGGCGGCAAGCTCTCGTTCTCCTGTAATTAATGTAGAATGGGAATTAATATTTGGCAGAAATCTCTACTCATAAAATACAATTGGTTTAGACTGGCTTATCGGGAGAAAGATTTGAACACAAAACCCGGAAAAAATTGTGCATCTAGACAAGATGAATGGAAAATAATTCATTCAACGAATAGAAAAGTTAAGACGACGTAAGAGGGCAGAGGAGTGCACTTCGTCAATAATCTGCTTGTGAAGAAAACATCATGTGAAGAACAAAACAGCGGATGCTAATGGTTATTTATAATTTTCTTAATAACATATTATATGTACTTATTTAAAATTCGGCATTAAGTCTCGACCCTCTTTCTCTCTTCAAAAAACCCATTAAATTGTAAGAAAGAAAACACAATTTCGGTTCCTAGAAGTACTTCTTAGTTTACTGAGGACCAGAAGTATTATGATGCCATAAAAATATACAATAAGCTAAATGGACCATTAGCCTTCGTACATTTTTGCTGCCTACTTTTCTTCTTTTACATTACTTGTATTGGTCTATTGTAGCTACGGTTATGTGTAAACCCTAAAAAGCAACTTACATTGGCAGTGCTTATGGGCGCCTCGGCCAGCATTTTCTTAATCGACTCGACCTTCTCTTGGCGACGCTTCTTCTCCTCAGGCGACAGTTCGGGCGTCTGCAATAAGAAATTAGTTATGAGTAACAGTTATATACACTCGCTTTTAAGACTTACTGTTTCGGGTATATAACGTTCAGGTATGACAATTTTATTCGGCGCCAACAGCAAGTTGTCGATGGTGTTCTCAGAGATTTTCTCGCCATGCCCGCCCAGAGCGGATCGCACCACATCTGGTGCATTCATGCGTGGTCGCAACGCTACCTCCATGTCCAGATCATCACGTGCCCGCCAGTTGGTATTCTGCAGAGACTAAAGTTTTAGTTAAATGGAAACTTCAGCCACAGAAAGCTAACCCCCCCACATACATTGCGGTTCATATCGTTCTCCGCCTGCACCTTCTCCATGGCCTTCTGATTCACATTATTGGGTGCTGTGTAGTGGCGACGCTTTTCGCGCGGCACAGCTCGCCGATGCTTATGAGATGCCGGTACTTTCTCCACTAACTTCTCTGTGTCCTCAGATGCAGAGCCAGCGGACATTTCGTTGATGATTTGACGTGCGGCCACGCTCTGGAACACCGGTTCAGGACTGATGTCCGTGAGACTCTTGTTCAGACTCTGCAGCGAATCGGTATTGGTGCGTAGAGCAACGCGGGCACTGTCCCGGGAGGGATGTGCCTGCTGCTGCAGTTGCTTAGCAAAATAGGCATTGGCCAGAGGATTCAGATGCTCGCGCGTCCCGCCATTGCTCAATGGGGCCTGCAACTGCTGCTGCTGCTGCTGCTCGTAGTTACTATTGCGATCGTAGTCGTTGGCAGCGTAATGGTGATGACCATTCTGTTTGGCCACACCGTTAAGATGCTTGCTGTGTCGTGGCTTTGGTGGCTCGCTGTAATTACGTGGCAACGACTTGGAACGACTGTGGCCATTCTGCATGTGCTCCTCGGCATAGCCGCCACTCACGGCCCCATTGGTGTGTGCGTAATGGTGGTTCGCATACTGCTGTTGTTGTTCTTCCTCCAGCACCTGATCCAAATTCTGCTGTGAGCTGCTCAGTCCGCGCTCACTGCGATCTCGATGCCGACGCTCCGACTCCCGCTTGACAATGCGCACCGTCTTGATCTCCTGCTTCTCCAGATTGCTTAGATTTGCAAAGGGATTGGTGTCCAGAAAACCATCGCTATCGACACCGCTCATCTCAAGCGCATCGCTTGAGTCGTTGTAGCGTTGGTAATCGCTCAGCTTGTTATTGGTGCTGGTGTCCACGTAGAGGGGCGTCGATAGGTTCAGTGTGGAGTCGCTCAACTGCCGGTTGCCACTGTGTGTGGCATCCAAATCGGTCTCTGTCCAACTGGTCGAATTGCTGCGCTTCTTTAGACTGCCATTTGTGCTACCCGGTGTCATTTCCTTGTTACCAATTTCCTGATACAAACGCGAAGAGTTCTCTGTTAGCTGACGCACCGCGGAGCTCAACTCATGCCGTTGTCTCTGCATATCGCCCACCAGCGACTGCACACGCTCGAGCTCAGACTGCAGAACGGCAGCCGTTTGATTGCTCGCACCGTTGCCATTTAAATGCGAGCCATCGTTGCCTACCCGGGAGGCTTGAACCTTTTGGCGCAGCACCAGCAACTCCTGCTCCAAGCGTGCATTTCCCGCCACTGTCTGCTCCAGTTTCTGGAAAAAGTACAAAGCACTTGTTTTAGTCTCGTAATTTGATTGCGGTCGTGGCACATGCAGCTAGAGGGCTACAAAATGAGGCGAGTGGACGTAGAAGTCTTTTGCATTCGTTTGCTTTGCACAAAACACATGGCTGTTAGTTCTGGTTTTGGTGTTTGAATATGGTTTCGAATTAGTTACAAAAGCGACAAAGCGACAAGGCGACATGCGAAGCTCCAGATACAAATATAAAGAAGTATCTGGCACACACATACACATATAGTATATAGTAGAGTACACATGGTACGACTTAAGAATAGTTATGCAAAAAACTTCTACTAGGCACCTTCGCTACCTTTGAGTTCTCGGCAAGCAGCTGATGGACACGTGACAGCTCACGCTCCAGTATGTGCTGCTGCTTCTTGGCCGCCTCCAGTGCCATCGGAGTGGCATTGTTGTCGTGTATGCGAGCTCGCAAGCCACCCAAAGCACGTTCCAGGTCCTCCTTATCCCGCTGCAGGCTCTGCAAAGTACCTGACTCCTCCTGCAGCAACTGATCTAGCTGATAGAGTTGACGCACCTTGGCCTGTTCAACGACAATAAATTGTAAATCATTTATAAGTTATTGGTTCTTGAAAATAGACTTAACATAAAGTATTTATAAGACTAGGCTTTAAACTATTTTAATACAAGGTGTAAATTACAAAATATAACTCGCCTGTAGCTCGGCTTGATTGGGACTCAGACGGTCCCATTGCTTTTGTTCCTCCTGCAACATTTGGCGCTCCTGCATGCGCTGATTGAACTCGAGGCGATCCAAGGTGGCCGGCTCATTGCTGCGCGCATCGTTGCGGTAGAGCGAACCCAACTTGACCATATTGTCCACCAGATTGACCAACGGCTTGCTCTTCTCATACTGTCGCTCCAGATCGAGCAAATGTTGCTTCAAATAGTCCAAACGTTGTATGCTCTCGGCGCGTGTAAGACCCTCGGCAGTGCGTAGCCGGTTCTGCAGAAGTTCCAAGATATTTTAAAAATAGCGAATAGTCAGAGCATATAGTCTGTTAAGTCTATAAGTAATATTAGTTAAGTAGTAACGCATTTCCAACACCAAAAATTAAACTCTGTTAGCTAGCCAGTCAGCCCATCCCACAACCGAACAAAAATGTATTTGGTTTTTGGTAACAACCTGCACGTCGTGTATATCGCTGCAACATTGTTCGATGGCGCGTGCCGTGTTGCTGCTCTGGCGTCGCAATTGTATTAACAGCAGTACCAACTCCTCATGTGTGCGACTTAGCAAATCGCCAGCAGATACATCCAGGTTCTGTGTGGGCAAGTGGTTCGTGTGTTCAATGAATAGAAATTAAAACCCACCCCAGCGTCCACACAAAGTTTCAAATCCATTCTTTTCAAACCCCAACAACTTACCCGTATTTGCGTGCTGGTCTCACGTTCCAGCATATCGATTTCAGCTCGACTGCCGGCACGTCGTAGAGCAAACTGCTGCTGTTGTTGTTGTTGTTGTTGTTGCTGCTGCTGCTGCAATGGCGTTGATGTGGATGGACCATAAAGACCGCGATCCGTCAGCGCTGTGGCCTTGGCGTATTTCGTCTCCTGTGCATTGCCGTAGTAGGACTGCATTTGATCGTACTGGTGCTGCCTCACATCCGACGGCTCGGGCTTCACAGTTAGGGTGCCTTTGGGCAAATTGTTCACGTTGCGCACCGAAATGGAAGCTGTAAGTTTAGCGGAAATGCAAAACGTAAAGAGAGAGAGCGAGACAGCACATTGGAAAAAAGAGCTTAATTCATGGCTATGGAGTAGCATGTAATTAAAATGCGTGCGCGAAATAAGAAGCAACGAAGCGTCGGTACATAAAATTATACAAAAAAAAAAAACAAAAACAACAAAAGGTTCGCTGTTGGCCGAGGTGCAGTCGCAGTTTTGTGGGGAGTGGAGTGGGAAGGAGTAGCGTAAATTAGTGCACTACAAAGTTGAAGCAACTAAATGGAACGCACATACTAGTGCTAATCTTTTTAATTCATTTTTGCTTGCTGTCTTTTGCTTTGCGCACAAATGTATGCTGGTTTTTTTTTTCAAACAAATCTCATTGCTCTAAAGAAATGTGTGTGGTGTGTGTGTGTGTGTGCGTGTGCGTGCGTGCGTGCTGTATATTTACAAGCGCTTGCAAGTTTACTTAAAAATGCATATGTGAAATGTTTTGTAATATAAGAAATTTGCTTACCATATTTTGTTTTTTCTTTTTCTCTCTTTTTATTTTTGTTAATTGAACAAAATGCAAAACAACACAAACAACAACAATAGTGACAACAACAATAACAAAAATAATAGACAAAACTAACTAGCAACATGAAGTAAGCAACAAAAACGTCGAGCTCAACCATTTAATGCAAGCGCCAATTGAAAGAGAACACAAAATGTAGCCTACTTTTAGGCGCGGCTGTAAATCGTAGTGGAGGTGGGTGTGTGGGTGTTTTTTATTCTCAGTTCTTTCGTGATTTCGGCATCTTGGCCGTCGCAACAATGGAATTGCCATTGTCGTCATTATTGCCGCTATTCAATTGTTGTATTATGGAGCGCACATTACTCGTCAGCGGCAGAACGGGACCAGCACTGGAGGGCACTGGAGCTGTTGGCTCTGCCACACCCGTGCCTGATTCTACATTATTGTTCTTCAAGAGACCACTAGACATGGCATCCCACTGTCGTATTGTCTCGCGATCCAGCTCTGTGGACTTGTGCGATAAATTCGAAGCCGTCTCTTCGCGCAATACTTCGTACACATCCTGCTCCTCATCATCCGGCATTGCCGAGCTGGAGATGGCATTGGAGGTGGCAGCTGCCAATAGCTGCACATAAACATCATGCTCGTCGGGGGGATGGACACGACGCGTCTTGTAGCTAGCACGCACATGGTGCGACACATTATCATTCACGTAGGTCACATCACGCGTGAGTCGCGAAGTCTTGGGCACACTTGGTGGGGGTGGTGGAGCTGCGGTTATGCGATCGAGATCATCTAGCGAGCGAGCATGACGCTGCGAGACGCGACGCAGACTCTCGCGCCACAGTGCATCCTCCTCCCAGAGCAGTTCGCCACCTAAAACTGAGAGTTCATTGGCATTATTGGTAGCTATTGCGGCTATTTCTGTTGCTGCTCCAGCTGCTGCTGTTCCTTCTGCCGCTGCTGTCGTGGAGGGCTTAACAATGTCACCAACACCAACCACGCCAACCAGGCCAATCAGACTACCATTACCCTTACGACTCAGATTTGTATTTTTAGTAGAAGTTGTGGTTGCAATGCTCTCAATGTTGCTGTTGCTGTTACTGGTAGTAGTGTATGAATATGCTGGATTAATTGGCATTGTCTGACTGCTGCTGGGACCTAACTCTGGACTAAGTCCCATGTTATTGTTTAGTTTCAGTTTGAACGGCATTTCGCTGGCCGACTTCAGATTTTTGGCACAGCTATAGCTTAGCTTCTCGTTGTTATCCTTGACGCTGTACAAATTCTTACTATCAATAGCCTGATCCTTGTCCACCAGCGCATCCATATTAAATTGATGCCGATCTATAGGATTGTGTATGTGGGCTATATTTAAGCCATGGGCGTGTATATCCCGCTGATTATTCAGCGGTGAGCTCGCCGGCAGTTCGGAATAGTAGTATGGAGCAGATTGTGTCGAGATGTTGCTATTGTTCCGACTATGCAAGGGCGTGACATATCGTTGCTGTGGTGTCAGGCAATCAGCACTTCCACCCGCACCACCACCCAATTGCTGTATGGAATCGGTGGAAGACAAAAAGTGTATATTGCCATAGAAATGCTCCTCATGTTCGGCGTTACGAAATGTCTTAGGTGGCTTGATGAGATTAGTGAGAATATCAGCGCCTGCGGCAGCATGTACATCGCTCATCAGCTGGCTGGAGCTGCCAGCATGCTGATAGGGCAGTAGCTCGCTGCCCTGTAAATGACTTAGGTATGTGTCCAGCTCGTGACTACTGAGTGTCTCCTCGAACTGCTCGCTGAGCGATTCGATCTCGCTTATGGATTCCTGGGAGAGGGGACGACGCGAACGTTGGCGCTCTAGCTCCGAGTCGGAACCCTGACGTTGCTGCCGAAACTCGACAGACTCATTCTCGCTGCTATCTCCGACATATCGCAATGGCAACGGCAGTGAATTGTTGCTGGAGCTGCGTCCCGGCGCCGGATTTACCAAGGCTGGCGAACGCTGCTGCAACTTGTGATAGAGCTCCAGATCGGAGCTGGTGCGCGAGGAGCTATTGTCCGTGTGGCAGCTGTAGTTCGAATCCGAGAGGGTGCGAGCATGTTGTTGCTGAAGCAGCAAAGTAGGCGTGGTTGCCATTCTTGGCACTTGACCACGAACCTTGGCAAAGTGATCGGGCAGCGAAAGACGACTGCTCTTCAGCACTGCTGCTGCAGCTGCTGTTGTCTCCGGTTTGGACAAATTCAGCGACGTGTTGCTCGCATGCATTTTTGGCAGCTGCTCGTAGGACAGGTGGACGGGCGCCTTGCTGCCGCTGCTATCACGTCGCTTCACCGTATCGTAGTGTTCCGAAGAGAAGATCTCCTCGGTCTTAAGCTCCTCCATGGGCGGCGGTGATGCTGGTATGGGGGGCGGAGGCACAATCTCACTGTCTGAGCTCTCTGCATAATTGTTGAGTGGTGTGGTGGCTCCCAAATAATACGAGGCCGGGCGGAAAGTGTCCGACAGACTGAAACGTGAACGGGAGCGCAACTTCTTGGCCTCCAGTTGCTGCTTGCTGCTTTCATCATCTGCATCGGAACTGTCGCTAACTAATGCCAAGGCACTCTTTGCAGGCTTCAGTATATCTGGCATGTCCTTACCCTGTCGCTTATTATGTCCACGTTCGGAGTTTGGTTTTTTGGTTTTCTTCTTTAACGTTTCGCTGCTGCACTTTTTACTCTTCTTTAGCGTAGAGCGACCAGAAGAGCAGTGAGATTCCTCAGCAGCAGCGGCTGCTGCAGCAGTACCTACTCTTACACCTGCTAGTTCCATATAGACCGGTTCAGTCTTTGCCTTGGTCTGACTAACACTGCTAGCTATGCACATGATCTCATAGTTGCTCCTATTATCATCCTCAGTGAGATCTTTAGTCATTTCAACATAGTGGTTCTCCTCCGCTTCGGTGAGACTTTCATTTGTGGCTACAAGGCTCAGCGTGCCCGACAGTCCCACTTCCACTTTCTTTGGTGTCATGGGCAGATAATGACTCTCATCAAACTGTTGGTCAGTGGTAAGGGTTATAGACTCATTCATATAAAACTGTTGGCTCTCCTCGTTGCTGGTCGTGGAGTTGTCCTCCTTAATTGCTGGCGCAGTAATATCAGCCTCATCATCCTGTGCCAAAGCCTCGTCTATATCATCATCTGTGTACTCTTCGCAGGCCGTGCTCTCCTCGTCTTCATCTTCATTTGGGGGTTCTTCATCATCTGTCGCTGCCTGCGCTTCAGTTTCATTGACAGGCTCTGATATATTGGGGACTTCCTCTGCCGTTGGGGTCAAGTCATTCTCCTGCTCCTCCAGGCGTTGCTGCTTAGCCTCTTGGGTTTCCTTATACAGCTTTAAGTGCATCAGCATGGGTGTCTCTTCGGCATCGTGTATTAAAGCTATTGGCTCCGGTCTCTTTGGCGCTGTCTCCCTACTGGGCGCAAACTCCACGTTCTCATAGGTGCTGTTGTTGCCGGTGACCAACTTGTTGCTATAAACTGGCACATAGTTTGTGTTCTGTGGAGATTTGGGCGCCTTTTTCTTTGGCAGAATGGGAAGAGGTGCTTCGTCATCGTCATCCTCATCATCGTTATCATCAACATTGAGTCTCGTAGGCAATTTTAATTTGAGTTTAGGCTTCGTTTCTGAAGACTTGGGCTGCACTTGTATGATGGGCGTCTTGCTGGCCTCGTGCACTTTTAGTATCGGTTTTAGCTGAAACTTGATATCTGTCGTCGGTGCTGTTGCAGTTGTTGTTGTTGTTGTGCTAGCTACATCTGTTGTTAATGATGTTGTTGTTGATTGTTTTGTATATGAAATATTCGTGTTACTAGTACTACATATGTTTGCTATTGTTGTTATTGCTGTTGCTGCTGCTGGTGCTGTTAATGTTGTTGTTGTTTTTGCTGTGTCTTGTGTACTTGTTGTTGTCGTTCTTGTTGTTGTTGTTGCTGACCTTCCTGCCGGCGCACTTAAGTTATCATCCACAGTCCCAGCTGTTTCGTGTGTGTGATTTGTTTTTTCACCCATTTACAACATATAAATACAGTTTTTGATTTTTCGTTTGGTACAAAGTTGTGTGTGTGTGAAAAAATCAACCAAAATGTGTATACACAAAAATAGGAAAAAAAGAGAATTATAAAACAATGTTTTTTTTTTCGTTTTTGTTTTAAATATTTGTTTGTTGTTATGCATTAGAAACAAATGGTTTGTTGGCTGATGAGTTTTAAAGACTACAGCGGCTTTAGATTGTTCGATGTACAAAAGGTGTTTAGTTGAAAATTGTTGAAAAAAAAACCCAAGAAATTACACACCAATCACCCATATACGAAAATACACACAACACAATCACCAACTACATAAAATATTTAAAATGTTTACACCATTTCCACGTTAGGCGGGGGCGTAGAAATCGAAAAAAGAGCAAAAAGTGCTACAGAGTTCAAATTGAAACGTAAACAACAATGTTCAAGAGTCAAGCTTACATATTTTTCCCATTTGCGGCATTAGACATTTAAGTTTGCCCCTCTCTCTCCCCCTGCCACTTGACCACATTGTGCATGTGTGCACACACACACACGCACACACATACCCACACATATACTACTAGAACTTTTACCCAAATACTTCATTTGCTTCAGTTGCTAAAGTACCGTTGGTTGTTTGCTACAAATTTGTTGCCTACTGTTAGGCTCTTCGGGCAACGAAACTACAATTTTCCATGCTCTTCCATGTTTCATTTAACTTCATTTGCATTAATTAAATATTTAAATCGTTTATGTGCGCACAGCAGGAAGGTTTCTTTGTTTGCTCGTTCGTTCGTTCGTTCGTTCGTACGTTTGTTGATTGGTTATAAATCGCATTTTGTTATTTTATTTTTTCTCTTTTATTGTTTGTGCATGCATTTGATAATATTAATTAAAACATAAAAGTGATGCATCAATAGCTCAACGAATATCAACTACAGCTGAACTAGCAAAATGAAATACAACTAAAAACAATTGGCATAAAATATTAGCAATGAAACAAGCAAAAAGCGGCATTAATTGATATTGTTTATACATACAAGTATGAGTTTATTTGGTTAGGTGGAATTACAAATAGGAATCATTATCAGGGTCAATTTAAATTTTGAAATTTGAAAATTATGTTTTAAGGGATATTTGTGGGGCTTTTCAAAACGCGCTCAAATTATCAATTAAATTGAGGTTACAATAAAGTTGTATATAAATTAATGTTTCCATATAATTTGCTGCAGTTGGCAGATTTATTTAATTTATAATAGAACCCTTCAAAACCAAACAGAGACAAGAACGGTGCTAAGTTATATTGAATGTTCATTAGACTTTTAAATGGCTTCTACGTTTGTTCTTTAATCGAAAACTGTGGCTTAAATCGGTAACGAACGCTTTTATGGCTTGTGCGATGCACACACCTCTCAGTAGCTGAAATAGCCGACAACTTTGAAGATACTCCTTCCTTATTGAAATTTAAGTATCATTATAACTAATCGTTGAAGAATTTTGATATAGAAATATATATATCCGTTCACTAAAGTTGACTTTGCAACGCAGCTTGTAATGTAAATGCGTTATTTCGCTTGGCCATGAAACTGATATAAATATATTTTAACAACAAATAACTGAAGCCTAGTGATTTAAAAGATTTGATTTTAGTTAATATCTAAGCCTCTAAATATGATCTCACTGCTTCACAAACAGTTCTCTTTAAGGCAGTTCTCTATAAAGACCCCCCCCCTTTAATATGATGAGAAATGAGTTCCACATGCATAGGAACTGCAATTACGGCTAAAAGTGATGTTAGAAGGATGTAGACACCAAAGGCAGAGTAATTGTCAAAGCATACATACGACTACGACTAAAAGTAATAGAGTAACAGGCAGCAAAGTCAAAGACAGCAACACGCAGTTAGCAACTGGACGAAGAGGAACAGAACAGTGAGTATACAAGTATATAGACAGAGTTGCATAAAAGTGACAGCGCATAGAGATTTACTCAGTATAGAAAAAAGCACATAACGCATACATAGAAAAGATTTGAGGCAAAGCAAAAAATACTTATACTGGTACGCACCTTCATCGTCCGATGAGTAGTTGCTGTAGACCACACCGCCGGGACCCACATTGGCGTGTGTCTCGGAGCGTGAACGCTGAATGCCCGCAGCTGACCCCGAAGATGTGGTTGCCGCTGTGCCTGGAACAGCAGCTACAAGGCCCGTTTTGCCAGCCTGTGGTGCATAGCGTGCTCCACTGGCCACGGCAGTGGAGGCCAATAATATGTTGGGATTGCTACCCAGCTTGGACATGGCCGACATATTGCTGCCACCCTGCTGTACGCCCTTGCGCGTCAGTGGCGATTGCAGCATGCGCTGTTTCCACTCCAACAGACGCTTCATGGACTCCTCACGCTTGCGTTCGCCATCTTGAGGGTTTAGGGATGGCGCTGGTCCGATTGGGCCAGTTTGTGTGGGTGATGTGGTAGCCGAGTTGCTGGCCGAGTAATCATCATCGAGGCCGCCACTGCGCTTAGGCAAACGCGCACTCGCCGACCGCAAAAATTGCTCATTTTTATTGATTATCTCTTGTGTGGACATCGAAGGCGGAAATATCGAACCAGGATGCACATTGAGGGGCGGCAGGTCCTCTTGCGATGAGGGCGATTGTGCCGCATGTGTGGAGGCAGATCTCACGCCGCCACTACCCGCTCCCTGACTGGCCGAACGACTCATTCTGGGCATGCTGGCGCCGCTTTGCACTTGGGTTTCTGCGAGCAATTCCTGCCGCTTGTAGGCACGCTCGTAAGGATTCTCATAACCAATGGTGTGCATGCCCATGCCCTGGCCGAAGTCCATGCCTGAGGCAGTGCGATAGCTGCCCGCCTGCTGCGGCTGAGCAGAGGCGCCTCCGCTTTGCAAATATAGCGCACTCTTCCTCATTTTTTCCGCATAGCTGGCCTCCGAGTAGTAGAAGCTGTCGGGCGTACGATTGATGTCCAAGCTAGACTTCGGTCGAGGAGCACGTCCCGCCTCGTGCTTGCCAGCACTCATTTGGGCGGCAGCCGCAGCAGCCGCTGCTGCCTCTGCACGCGCTTCATACTCCAGAAAATCGGCGGAGTGCGGCCTCACAATGGAAGCCGCAGAACGTGCACGCATGTCCAAGTTATTGATTAGTTGATCAGCCGGTGTGGGCTGCAAACAAAGCGAAAGAGAGAAAGTGTGGAAGTTAGAGGAATGTGAAATTATTGTTCGTTTACACTGCATTTAAAACATGGAAATTGGTGGGTCATAACTCAGGCACAGCTGCTAACCTAACCGCCTGGCATGCACATGAATGATGTATGCAACTTAAACACACTTGCCGCTTGCCGCCTGCCACTTGCCGCTTGCCTGCGACCCACAAAGAAGAACGCGCCACGAAATTGCGTTTTCAACCAAATTGCAGTGGCAGCCCTGCAAGTCCGAAATGTCTGCAATTTTACAACCCACTGACACACTAAACCATAATTAAGAAGTGTGTGTTTGTGTTAGTGTTTCGAGTCGTTGAAACAGAAAGTTAAGCAAATGCTCAAGTAGTCAAATGTTTGCAAGTTCTGTGGAGAAGGATTGAGGGGAAGCACTCGGAGTAGCTGTCTCGCAAAATGGGTCGGACTCACCCACCTTTTGACTTTGTCAAATCTTAAGAATCTTTTGACGCTTTTCGTTTCCGTTTCGTTTTTGGGTTCGACTGCATTACAATATGACTTGAATCTTGCGATTTCGTAGGTGCCATGGAATTGTATATTAAAACCAACATTGTCAGCTAGCTGGTCTAAGAAGACGTCTGTTTTGGGGTGCCAATGCTAAGTAACCTGGCACTACTAACAACTAAGTTAGTTCATAAACTACCTCGCGCGTTGAGACTCTAATTTGTTTGAGAGAAGCAAGAAATTTTGCACTTACCTCTAAATGGTTGGGCGTGTAACGCGACGGCATGGCCGGCACATGCTTGCTGCCATCATAGCTGGGTGGGCTAAGGGGTCTCCTATAGCTGGCTGCCTCCTGTAGCAGTGCTTCTTGCGCCGAAGTCGGACCATTACCGGCCAACTGTGACATGTTGTAAATGTCCTCATAGTCGGCGGCAAACATGCGCTGCTTGGAGCGTCCATATGCGTCCGGTGTTCGTCTTTCCGCTTGAAGCTGTGCAGCCGGATAGCCACGTTGTAGTAGCTTGGCCATGTAGAGTTCACGCTCGCCATAGATCTCCTCAGCAGCACGCTGCTGTTGCAAACGCGCTATCTGCTCCTCCATATCTATATAGTTGCTCGGGGAAATGGGCAGTTCACCGCCGCCGCCGGCCAATGCCAATTGCTGCTGGAATTGTGCCTCGAGAGTGTCTAGCGCGTAGTGCTGCTGCGCCAGAGATGTTGAAACATGACCAGTGCGTGTATCATAGATGGCGTGATGCTGCTGCGGCTGCTGAGATCGTTGCTGCTGTTGCTGTTGGTAGAGCTGCTGCGTGGGCGACATGATACCGCTGCGGCGACTAGAGTGATGGGTCGAGTGGTGCTTGTTCTCGTTTTCAAAGGATTGTTCGGGAGATGGCGATGAGTAGCCGCCGTCGTTGATGCGTCGCGGCTTGGGCGGTGCATTGGCGTAAAGGGGCTGTGCACCACCGCCAGCAGCATTGCCAGTAGCACTCTGAGTACCGCCGGTATTATCAGATGCGGGCGTAACCTGTCCCTGACTCAATTTTCCATTACCCGGCTGGGATTGCAAGGTGTGTATGCCCGAATCGGAATTTTCGCCGCTGTGATTCAGTGACGAGCTTACGCTCGGCTGCGATGTCTGATCCGATTCCCCACTGCTAGGAGCCTGCATCATGGTGGCGGCAGTTAAAGCGCGTACCCACTGCATCATAGCATCCGCAGTTTCAGCTGCAAGCCAGTAAGTGCGCATATTCTGATGCTCGCACTTGAAAGCGAACTTCCGATAGATCTTGTCCTCGGGCAGGCAAGCCGAAACCCGATACGAGGGCAGGAGCACCGAACCCAATAGCTTCTCCTCCTCAGGACCCTTGTAGTAGTACAAGCAATATTCGGCGAGAACGAACCAACGCTTGCGCCACACTTTCAGGCCATCGGAGCCCTGTTTATGCAGCCAGCCAGAGAGCGCGACATGCGATGTCGGCGGTCGCTTCGTTATAGGAGACTTGAGGGCCTGTATGGAACCGGCACTCTTCTTGCGATCCAATGGTGCATGCGTGGGACTTTTCGTCGATGACGTGGCTGTGGATTCCTCCGAACTGGGCGTTGACTTGTTGGTACCACTGGTGGCAGCCGTAGCTGCGCTACCGGGTACAGGCTTAACCGCCGATATCTGTGTCTGGCAGGCCTGATTGACCACGTGCCCCGGATGATTCTGCTGTATATAGACGGGTCCGTGCTCGCTGCCCGGAGTCTGCATATCCGACTTGTGCCGCTGCTGCTGCTGCTGGTGTTGTTGCTGCTGCTGGTGTTGTTGCTGCTGCTGAAGTTGTTGCTGCTGCTGCTGCTGTTGCTGAAGCTGTTGCTGATGTTGCAGCTGCAACTGCAACTGTTGCTGCTGCTGTGCGTACAATTGCTCTTGGTAGTGTGGCGGCATCTTTTGCTGTACCTTCAATGGTCCCGTGGCCGGTTGATATTGATTTGGTAGGTTTAGCGTGGAAGGCGGCGCGCGTTGCTGTTGTTGCTGCTGTTGCTGCTGCTGTTGTTGCTGTTGCAGCGTTATGTTCGATACCATGCTGGCCGATTGACTCATGTGATAATGACCTGTGGGGGGATTGAGCGCCTGTCGCATAGCAAATGTACGTTGCTGTTGTTGCACTGCCTCGTTCTGCGTGGCCAACTGGGCTTGCATTTTCGCCTGCTGTAGTTGTTGGTATTGCGCCTGCAGTGCTGAAATGGGATGATGGCCGGCCGTGGCGTTGCTCGCCTGCAGTCGGCCAGCGGCGGCCAAATATGTGCGCTCCGTGGGTGACTGATAGAGCTGCTCCTCGCGTCCACCTCCGACGCCGCCGCTGCTGCTGTATGACTGATGATAGGGCGAGCTATGGGAGCTGCTCGATGTACCTCCATGGCCATGCTTCAGCATGCCGTGCTTGGCCTGTGGCTGCATTTCAATAGGCGATAGTGGACCACCACTGGAGGAGGTGGCTGTTGGCGATTGCTGGTATAGTGCCTGTGACTGCATGTGATAACCCGCACCCATGCCCTGAAACACCGGCGAGTGTGTGGCTGTGCGATAGTCGATGAGGTTCGTTTGATAGGCCAGTGGCAGTTTCTTCTGCTGCTGCGCGGTTGCCGCTTGCAACTGTTGCAGCTTCTTGGCGTCCATGGTGGCGGCTGTGAAGAGCGGTGGCGCCTCCAACCTGCAACACAGAAACAAAGAGAGAGAATGACAGAGGGAACCAAATTAGTAATTGCTGTGATTGCATTCAATTAGCAAAGGTCGCGCGCGTTAATTCAATTGCGGACTGTTGCGAGTGGCCATCGTTAAGCCATCGCCAGGCCTTTTCAATTTGAAATCCGTGTTCATTCCAGCTTAATGAAAAATGTGAACGGCTCAGCACGTAATTGGCTGTAATTGATTAACTGCACAGCTGCAGGGCCCAGACACGCTGGGTCGTACTGGGGGCGACCTCGCGTTCTTATTTTGCAATTTGTTCAATTGGAATGTGCGCGAAAACCATACAGAAAATTTAAAAAAAAATGCATGCGTTGCATTTTCTAATTTAGATTTAACTTTACTCACCAGTCCCATAGCTGATAAATGCAGCCAAACATGATTGTTGCCTTTGTATTGTTACTATTACGTTTGAATTAATGTATTAATAATTTAATTGGCTCTATTTTGTAGAATACTCAATTGCACTAATTTCTGTTTTTTTCTGATTTTTTTTAGATATTATTATGGCGTATAATGCGTTTTAATTTTATTTTTCAGATGAGTGTGAAAATTCAATTACATTTTTCACTTTCCATTGAATGGCTTTTGTGAGTCTCTTTTCGTTCGTTTCTCGTGATATGTTTTTATGTGTGCTAGCAGGCAGAATAGAAAGAAAAAAAACGCACCGCATTCACCCAATTGCAATGAAAACAGCGTGTATTTTCTATTTTTATTGAGGACGACCGCACATTTTGTTAATTTGCGAGCGGGCGAGAGAAGAAAAATGTTGCTGGGCTAGTCAACAGAAAAAAGCTTTTCATTCGAGGCTTTAATGCTCTTTTTTCATTGCGGATTTTTGTACAATTTGTAAAATGCTAGCAGCAAGGATCGGTTGAATGGGGATTAGAGGACCACGGGCATAAGACGATTGATAAAATTACAAGAAAACAGTGTTGCAATGATTTGTACCTGCATTAGTAGATTAAACTCCCTTGAGCTGACGTAGAATAATTAGACAGACACCATGGAATTGATAATATTTTTTATGATTCTAATTAAATAAAAACTATTCTGACAATCCAAATGTTCAACCGCCTCAGAAGCTGTGAGGGCCGTGTAAAGAACATATTCCTCCAAGCAGGCGTTAATCCATTTAGTTTAGAGAAGAGTACAAAAATATTGAATCTATGTCGAACAAAGAAAATTTCTTAAGAGAAAGAAGAAAATCTGTAAAGCAAATGTAAAATTTCTCTAAAAGCTCAATTCATTCTAGCAGTTAAGTATTTTAGAGATACATAGATAAATATAAAAAACAATGTTCTCTAAAAAAGTGTGTGTCATGCGTAATTAATCGTTCAATTTTGTTTAAACTAAATTTATTGATAAACAAAACTGGAATTTCGAACAATTCATATAAGCAATCAATTATTAATTAATTAATCGATTTGACTAGCATGGCCCTAGCAGGTTCAGATTTCACAGACAATTATTTTATCAATTTGCTTGATTATAGGTAAATCAATGCGTTTATTCTACATACTTATATCACTCGTATGCATTTAAATTGAAGCTTTTGCATGAATCGACTTATTATTTTGTAGCTTATAGGAATTCAATGCTTTGCAAAGTTTGGTTATTGTTTGTGATAGACTCAGAGAAGTTGAAACTAAACATGACAACCGTATTAATAGTCATAGTATATGAGACATTTTCGAATTTTGTTTGGCAGGAGCTCATTCATAAAATGCACTACAAGAATGAATAAAATATATGGAAATCAATGCAATATATTTGACTGTAAACAGACATCGGAGGCAGGCAGGCACATAATCGCCATTCACCGCATCATTTGACGCGTTTAATACGATTGACCGCCGGACAAACATGTACTATACGTAAATGAAAAGTTATATGTTTAATTACCTTGGCATGTGGGCCACATTGCCACATGAATTACAAATTGCATTTATTTATGCGCACACAGAGCCTGAACACTCAATTCTGTCGCACGGGTATTCTACGTATTGTACGTACATATAAGTAATGTAGTGCAATGAAAATGAAAATGGGTTTTCAAATATTTAATGCATGCGCTGAGGCACAAACTGGCGCACACAAGTGAATTGTGTGAAGCTAAATGGCATATGTTACGACTATGTAAATCAAATGCGCCTGGGCTGCAGGGCGTATACGCAATAACGTATAATGGCTGCAAAGCAAACGATAGGAGTAACACCAACAACAGCAATATCCAAACAACAATAAAACTTGGCGCATACATCGTCTAAGGCTAAGGACTCCAGCACCGCCAACGACGATGCCGATGTTCGTGCATTAAAAGCAAAGTCCTGTTGAAAATTTTGCGCAATATATAAACAATTGATCCGAGCATTTTATGCACACAATTCACAACTCATGTGCTGTGTGTGTTTGTGTGTGTATGTCTATGTGTGAGTAACACCGGCTTGCCAGAAAATTTAAAGTAATGCTTTATCCAGCTTGCCAATAGCGTTTATTCTCGAATAGCAGGGCGCTAGAAAGTATGCAACAGAAATATTTTATAATTGGCCCTAGCCTTAAGCCAGCGTCGACAATGGAGAACGGCCATATTTTGTATGGATTTCAATTAACGCCAAGCCAAATGCCCAACGGCAACTGTAAAAGCAGTAATCAAGAAAAAGCAGAAGAAGGAGCATGAGCAGGACGTGACTAAAGAGGAAAAGGCACAATAAAATATTTGCAGGAACAACAATAAAATCGATGGTGATTAAAGAACCGAGCTGTCTGGACAATGTAAAAGGAGCTGCCTGTCTACCTCTTCCTGCCCACCTACCCCAACATATTGGTTTATTTGAAAGGCATTGCAAAAGTTGACGACTTTTTTATGCACTTTATAATCAAAATAGGAAATAAAATGCTTTCAAAAAGTGTAACGCATTAAAGAATATATAATATCAATACGAAAGCATTATAAAAACAATTGTAACTATACATTATTCTAATATAAGTTTTATAAGCAGAGCTCCTCCAACAAAATATTAATTCTGATCTTTCATTGAATTGTGTTTGGCTTCGGCTAATTAATAAGTCGAGAATTACACACAAAAAAGAAAAAGGGTCTAATATACAAAAAGTTTAATAATATTTTTGATTCTATTTGAATTTTTAGAATCTCATCAGTGTACATTGAAAATTTAAGTTTACAATTACAATTAAGGATTAAAGGCATATGTATATGTAATTCAACAATTCGACAAGTTACCTTCCAAATATGCCACATAATAAATATAGCTAAACTCTTTGGCTTTTACTTTAAATGTATTTATAAAAATGATATGTTTTGTTTCTTAAAACTGCCTTTGTTATTATTTATACTCCTGTCAGTAGTGGGTTTGTAAAAGCTCTCAAATATTCGTATAATTCATTAACTAAGGAGTACAAATAATTTGTTATTAAGCTTTACAATAGTTGAGAACTTTAAGAGATAATATCTCAAAAACCAATTACATTTCTCATTTTATTATCTCTATGGTTTTCGTATTTTCTCGGCTAGGCATCTTTTTTGTTACATTTGAATCCCAGCTTTAATCATCATTTCACTATCTCTATTAAATAAATTTCCATTGTGAAAGGTATTATGGTTTCGGTATTTTCTCGGTTAGGCATCTGTTTTTGTTACATTTGCATCCCAGCTTTAATGCGCCTTCTGACAGACGTCACGTCTGTTCTATATAAATATGTATATGTGCATAAAAAAAAGGCATGTATAGTAAAGCTTATACAAGACGTATGTGTATGGCATGCGAGTAAACTATATGCAACAGCTTCACTAATGTGTGCATGAAAAATTGCCGAAAAATATTTTATGCACACAACGAGCAACAGGGGGGGAGGGCGACAAGCGACAGACGACAGGCGACGAACACATTAAGCACAGTCAGGCAGCTCAGTGCCCTAGAAAATGTGCCAAAAAAAACCAGAGATGTTCTCATACATACATATATATGTTTGTGTATTTCTTTATATAAGAAGGAGGCATTACAAAGCTGCCACGGAATATGATATAATATTTGGCACAAAGCCAAGGGAATTATGCGCAGAGCAATGATGCTATTGGTGCTGCTGCTGCTGCTGCTGCTGGCATTGTTATATATTGCTGTTGATGCCCATAATATGCTTATTTATACAACAAATTACAATAGAGAGAAAGAGCTGATTAGAGGTCATCTCTATAAGAGTTTATGTATGTGTCTATGGGAGCGTATTATTACGCATTTTGTTTGCATTTTGATTTTGGTTTTATGTGCAAACAATTTGCCCCTTCAACACATTCCGAAATGCCAACAATTATAGTAAATGTAGCCTGCATCATGTATGTATGTATCTGTATGTATGTGCGCGGCTCAATTTCAATATTTCAACGCTGTCAAATTTTTGAAATGATAATGGGCAGCATTATGCACATAGCATGTGAAGACGGTGGGGGCTAGTATGCACAGCCCAGGGCGGCTTATGCCTTTTGATTGACATTTGAATTTGGCAGAATTGAAGCGCTCAACTGAACCAAATTATTGTGTATACGCAGCGTTGGCGCTGCCTAAATGGTTGCCTGACTGCCTTGCTGGGGGCTGGCTGGCTGTTTGGTTTTTGATTTGAACTGACGTGTATATTATGACGTTGCTAGACATGATGAAAAATTAAAATGCAACGAAGCATAATAAGGGCAGTGGAACAAACTCATAGAACATTAATGTTTAAATACGGCAAAAGTCGGATATATCAATACCATATGAGACGCCATAACGTTATTAAATTCCCAGGCGATGAAAAAATGTGCGGATCATTCGCAATCTTCACAATGTAATAAAGTACAATTCAATAAACTGGTTGAAAAAGTTAGTAAAGATACTAAACATCTTAGGAACAAAGGGAAGAAACATATTTGCACTACAAAACAAGCGGAGCGGCTGCTTTTTTTGTTTGAAATGAATCTTCTATATTTCCGTTAGGTAGGCGTGGAGTTAAGAAATGCAGAGTATTACTTATATCTTTATTAAAGCAATGTGTTGGTGGGGTGCAAAAATGTTAAATGGTTAACCATAATTTAAACCCAAACAAACAAAACCTTTTTTTAATATTTATTTTTCCCACTACCCTTTTTGTGAGGAGCAATGATTGCAATGTGGTGGAGCATATGAAACGATACTATACGATGAAGTAAACAACTTTTTATTGTTTAAAGTTTAAAAGTCCTAAACAAAAATTTGCTGCCTTCATTTTAATCCTATTTTTGATACGATTAATAAAATAAAACAAATCAATGCGGTCAATCAAAAACTCAACTGTGCTCCCGCCAATACATGGTGAACGTTTATTGAAAATTGCAATTCTGTGTTCGCT